GCTAAATCTCAGAAACAGCCCAAATGCCCATCAACTAATGAATGGATAAAGAAGGGTGTGGTTTTTTTTATACAATGGAGTACCACTCTGCCATAAAAAGGATAAGCTTGAGACTTTTCTAGCTAAATGATGCACCTTGAGACCATACTCTTAGTTGAAATAAATCAGAAACACATTTCTGCATTATTTCTCTGGTGTGAAAAACTGAATGCATAAATAAGGAGCAAAATGTATAACAGATATTGTGAAATAAGAAGACAGTGTTCAAATGGGAAGGGGAACTAGGGAGGGGCAGTGGGAAAGGAAGGAAGGGGAAAGAAGAAATGAAAAAAAAGGAAAAAATGGAAACAAAGCATTTGTAAACAAAGAAGGGAAGAATGGTCGAAGGGAGGTTAGGGGAATGAGAAAAAAAGAATCAAGTTGTATCATGTACAGATACAAATTCCCTATGATGAATGTGATCATTTTGTATGCCCAAAATGTACCAATAAACTTAATTAATAAAATCCCCCCAAAGATCCATCTCTTAAAAAATTTCCACTCACTTGTCATTCAAGAAATGCAAATTAAAACAACACTGAGATTCCAGCTTACCCCAGAAAGAATAGCTATCATCAGATAATAACAAATGTTCAAGAGCTATGGGGGAAAATAAACCCTCCCACATTGTTGGTGCAAATGTAAACTAGTATAGGCACTACAGAAATCAGTATGGAGATTATTCAAAAAACTAAAACTAGGTATTTCATTCTACCCAGATATTCCTGTTGTAGTTATCTTCCTGAAAGAGCTAAACACATTATATTGCAGTGAGTCATGTATACCTATGATTATAGCAGCACAATTTATAAATTGCTAACTCTTGGAAGCAGTCTGCATGTCCATCAATAAATGAATGGATAAAGAAAGTGTGGTATTTATATACAGTGGAGCACTACTCTGCTGTAAGGGACAAACTTGAGTCATTTGTTGGAAACTGGATACCACCTTGAGACCATGTTAAATCAGTAAGTCAGACATACACAAGTAAATATTGCATTGGTTTTCTTATATCAGAAATGTAAAACACAAGAGCCAAGTAAGAGATAACAAGAAGTAGGAAGATTGTTTACAAAAGGGAAGGGGACCAAGAGATGAAGGGAGCGGGGAACAAGAAGAAGGAAGGGGGTGAAAAAAGAAGATGTGTTATGTGCATGTAAACTCCCCATGAGAAATATAATCATTAAATATTGTAAACATGTACTATTAAAATAGAAAAATTAACAAAAACCAGAATTAAAATGAAAGTAACCTAAAATGTTCAAATATTGACAAAAGTAAAAAGTTGATAATCTAATGCAGTGGAATAGAATGTAGCTCCTAATATGTAAACAAAAAATAATTGATTTAACTGTTCTGATTAGTTTTGGATATAAGATTGCCCATGCAGTAAGGTTATAATGTTGAAAATAACAACAAAAACTAAGTAGGGTCCTGTTTTGTTCCTTTCTTTTAATTTTTCCCTTATTTATTTATTGTTCTTTTTAGTTCATATATGCATACAAAAATTACTAAAATAAAGATAGGTGCTATTATCTTTAATTTTTCTTATCTTTATTTTTTGTTTTTGTCTTTAATTTTTCAAATAATATCAAATGAATACACAAAACTTTAAAATAATATGCCATTCATATAAATGACCTTATATGGCACATAGACATAACTGCAAACCTTGTATCCTTTTCCTTGTCTTCCTATCTACCCTCATAAAACACTACATTTCCACCACCTCTTCTACATGAAGAAGACTACATAATACAATTCTCACTAGAGCACTGTAAGGGAAAATTGCTGGCTGCAGCACCTTGGAAATCTCTTGAAAGAGTGCCAGACTAGTCTCCCCTTTGCCCAATTCCCTTCACCTGTTTCCTTCCTTGAGTAAGAATGTGGGTCAGGTAATAAAATGAAGCAATCAACTTATGAGGTTGTAGGTCAAAAGCCACGTACCAATAGATAGCAAAGTGGAAAGTCAGGAGGCTCCTGGATTCCTAAAGTGTCATAGAGTCACTGCACCAACTCTGATTGCAAACCATATTTCCTATTATATGTGAGGGGAAACACCTTATTTTTATAACCCATTCTCTTACATGCAGCCAAATACAATCCTTGATACATTATACTAAAATTAAATTTCAGAAGATTAATTACTGAAAGACACTTTCAAAATAATACACTCTAGACCCAGGGATGATGGTGCATACCTGTAATCTCAGTACTTAGGAGGCTGAGCCAGGAAGATCACCAGGAGTTCGAGGCTAACCTGAACTACATAGTGAGCTCCTGTCTTAAAAAGCAAAACAAAATGATAATATAATCTACACTACCTTTAGATGATATATGTAATCCTTAAACACACACACACACACACAAAATAGGCTAAAGACTCAAAACTAGTCTGTATCAAAACAAGGACTTAGGACTTTACTCTCAATTAAGTGAACAACTTTTTAAAAATACTAAAATCAAGCCCACCTTAACAATCTAGTTTGAAAATAACATTTCATAGGTTTTTGTCAAATAGCATTTTAAATATTATATATAATCAAAAATTAGTATCATCCTTTTGGTTACTCCTAAGCAAGCCTACAGTCTTCAGTCATTCAAAATTAGTGTTGAATTAGTGTTGAATTGATTAGTGAAATCAATCTTTTAAGTATGTCAGTATAGGTTATGTCTAAAGATTGAACAATCCCCAGCAATGATAGAAAGCCAGGAAATTTACTGATGGTATGAATTCATACTCTATCCTAGAAAAGCAACTAATTTAAGCCCTTTCTCTATCAACTTCAAATGTTTTAAAATGTTTTTATACATGGATATTATATATATATATACGGCACAAAAATTATTTATGTCAAAGAAGACTATATCTTCTGTACTTAGATACGAGAACTCTCTTGACTAGATAGAGGGCTCTTGAATGTCAGTGCTTCTCGCTCAGTAGTTGGCTAGATCCTTGTATTATAATCTTTGAGCTAGATTCCTAATTCCTGCTGCTCAGGAAACCCCTTCTGTATTTCAGTTTAAGAAAACCTAAACACTTGTGCAGGGCATCTGTTCACAGAATAGAAAGCATCAGTTTTATATTGAATTTTCATTCTCCTCCTGCTATGTGGCCCCACCCCAGATTGTTCTACGATGTCCTTAGTCCTTTACTGAAGAGAATATAATTCTCTGCCTTGAGTCTAAACCTCTTAGAAAAGATTTTTTTCAGTAATAACACAAATTTATTATGAAAAATTCTTTTCTTGCCAATATGAATGTATGACAGAGCCTAAGTTTCAGGTAACAGTTGGAAAATCAGCTAAATGTTCACTGGATGTGCAATGAACTATTTCAACACATCTTCTCAGATGCCAGTTTCTTGAGGAGCAGCACTGGGTTATCAAGAAGCAGTAGCCAGGATATTTTATATTTCATAGGAAGTACTTTATACTTCATATTCTGTACATAGTACTAAAATTCTACTTTCAGTTAAGAAAAGACTCTGCTTAAAACAATTCTAGCAGTAATTGCTAAGTGCCATAAGAGAGAGATACTACTCTACTATAGAAAGAAAGAAAGAAAGACACAAACTAATTTTTCTAATTAAAAGAAATAAAAGTTGTTTTCTTTACCTTCCAAGATATAGAGATACAACTATCTCTGGGTTGCAAATAACACAAAGGTATGTAAGTAGACTTTCTCTCTTCAATTAATTATTAGCAGAAGTAAAAGATTTCTCTTTACTGATGGATTGTAGCTATTCAAAGAAAAACATCCATAAATGCTCTGATCCTCCAGATTCCTATGAATCCAGCTGCCAATCTAGTGCTCTATCTATAGCTATTCAGAAACTATTTGATATTATTTCTGATAAGCAGTATGCCACAGTGTAATGAAATGGGTGCAAGCTGTTTTCAAAGACAGAGAATTTGGCTCCATGACTGCAGACTGTGTGAGCCTGAGGAAATACAGTACCTTCATCTGTTCGAACTCAGTGTCACACACATTAAAGGAATAATATGATACTCTATCTATAGAGTTGTTGTTGCCAGAATGAGATAAGAGATTAATTCATATCATTATGTTTAATGAGTAAAAATTTATTATTATGGTAAATCCTCCAAATTCAACTGAGTGATGTTTTTCTTTTAAAAAAAAAAAAAAGAATCCTTGCTTTTTCACAAGCTTCCAATGTTTTTTCCCCAAGTATTTCTCAAATTAAAAATTCAGCAAGAGTTCTGAGGAAAAGCCTATTTTTAAGAATGTTTTGGGCCTAGCATAAATCAGGCTTTGGGCTTTATCTATATTTTAAAGAATAAATTTGAATGAATGAAAAGCCAATGAAAGGCTTTGTACAATATAAGACATATAAATGTAAGTAATTTATCAGAAATTAAAACGTACTGTCAAAGAGGGGAAAGCTGTCACTAGGGGCAACCAGAAGAAAAAAATAGATGGGTCACCCTCACGAGGTTTCTTGCTCATTGTGGAGTAATTTTATGAGTTTTCTATTGGATTTTATAATGTATTCTTAATGTATTTGTGTATGGATATATATACATATGTACACAGGTGCGTATATGTAAATGTATGTATACACGTATATATTACATAGGAAATAAAGAGGCACGTTTTAAATATGCAGAATATATAGCAATATATACTTTGTGTTACACAGGCTTCTTCAGATCACAAGGAATAGACCCTCTTACATTTCCAGATAGCCTGACCACTAAGATTCCTTTTCTTCTCTTTTGTTTGTGCGTACCTATACCAGAATCTATGCCCCACTTTATAAAGGGAAGATTAAACTGATGGCCCTGTTATCGCATTCTTCATATACAAGGAACAGCATCGCTGAAAGTACTTTATTTGGGTCTTACCTCAATCATTAAACTTTTGTTTGAAATCTATCTGGGGGAAAATGTACATAATTTCCTTGAATTATTCTCTTTGCTTAACTATTTTTTACTTACCACTGGCATTCGCTCATAAACACGAATAGAAGATAGTCTATCTATAATAAAGCAAACATAAACAAGTGATATTTTATTGGTTTTAACTCAACTTATAAGACACATATGATTGTTTTTGTACCTGAAGGATTTCCACGGACTCTTTTCATTTTCTCTTCCAGAGATACAATCTGTTTTTGTAGCTGATCATTCAATTCAAGTTGTGCCTCATAGCGAGTTTTCCATTCACCACCTGAATAAAAAAGAGGGGGAAAAAATGAAGATCATCCTTTCACCTCCCACTTATTAGTTAAAATCACATGAACCAACTTCATCTTGACTGTATGAGCAATACAAATACTGTTTAAGCATGTAAGTATTTCTGTTAGATAAGATTTTCCAGATTGCAGAAATTAGACCCACCTTCAGGCCACCAGAAAGCCAAATATCTATATGATTATTATGGTTCCCACTCTTTTTTATTCTCCACCTCCTATTAACCCTTATTTCCTCCTACTTCCTTGTATCAGAAATGTGCTTTTTCCCTTGGAACTTGAAATACACACATTACAACACCCTGAACTGTACTAATCTCCCATCCAATATCATGTTCATTGTTTTCCCTTTGAAAAAGATTTCTGAAGTCAAATTTCAGAGACATATAACTTCAGAAACATATAACTACCACTTATATGTTTGTAACATTTAAAGCACACACAATGCTTCACATGTCAACTACTTTAATTCTCATTTTAACAATTTACTCATTTTACAGATGAAGAAATTGATTAACATTCTTAACATAATATCTTTAGATGATAATAAATATGGGAATTGGGCTTAAACTCAATTGTTTTCTGACTCAGAAATGTAGCCTCTCAATGACTAATCTACAGTAACACTGTGTGTATTTAACTTTCTATTCAGACATTTTCTCTTATCCTTAGGTACTAAAAACATTTGGCTATTACAGGAAAAGTATTTGTCTTATTTTAGGGGGAGGGTAAAATACAGCATAGAATTAAAAGGTCTTTGTCCACCTTTAAAGCCCACACCTTTAATCCCAGCACATAGTGAGTTTGAGGCCAGCCTACCTGAAGAGACTCTATCTCAAAAAAATAAAATAAAATAAAATAAAATAAAATAAAATAAAAATAAAGCCCCAAACCTTTGAAGTCAGGGTCTGGAGAGGGAGAGAGGAGAGCGAGAGCAAGAGGAGGAAGGGAGGAAAGGTAGGAAATATATATACACATATATGATATACATATTAAATCTTAATACTCTTTACATATCTGAGATAACTTCTAGTTGGAAACAGTTGATGCAAGAGTCTAAGGAAAAAGAAAGTAGTTGCACTCACCACTGCCTAACACTGGCCTCCCTCACACCCTCATCTCTATGCATATTTGCCTCATCAAAGAAAGGCGGGAACACCGTTTCAAACTGAAACTAAAAGTTACTCATCTAAAATTTTAGGAAACGGAAAAAGGGAAAAGCTCTGAAAATCCTAACATTTTCCTAGTAGACACTCTTAAGCCCAAACAGGTGAAATGGCTTTTATACCAGCTAGCTGAAGTCTCTTTTTGTCATCATCCTCCGTCTCTCATCCTAAGAATGGAGGCTTCAGAGCAAAATAAATATGGTTACCAAAACAAAAGCCAGTTGGGGATGGTAGCATACCCACAACCTCAGAGCACTCAGGAGGCTGAGACATGAGAACTGAAAGTGCAGGACTGGCTGGGCTATGGTGCCTGACCCTGTCTCAGAACAAACCACAGTGTCCCAAGCCACTCAGAGCAATAGTCAAAAATAAAAATGTTTAATATATGAACAAATAAAGTAATTTATTTTTGACACATATGAGTATAGTTTATACAATTAGTCCCATTTTACCTTAAATATTATTGGTCTAAAGATTATGAATTTTAGATAGATTTATTAATATAGTATGCTCTATAGCAATTTATCAGGCAGAGTTACAAAGCAAGAGAAATGGGAAGGGACCTAGCTTGCAGAGATAATGAAGGCATAACTCTAATGGCCAGGCTGACCTATTAACAGAGACATGGGGAAAGTTTTTAAGAAGTTGGGCTTGCCTAGGTTTGATAATTATCTCAGTTCTGGGTTTGCAAGATGGCTCTGGGAGAAGTCTTTATTGCTTAATCCAGTCTCCATGAGATGATTGTTTTTGCTTGAGGAAGGAACTGCTGAAATCCAAAGTGACCCTGAGTTTAGAGCAATGACTGGAGACTGCTGGGTGCTCTCACTGGTAGCTGAATGTCCCTATACATCTCTTATCTTGATGCATTTAGTCATGAAAGAAGACAAAAGGTTATACAAATTTAAGGTTAATCTACCTGTAGTGCCAGCTTTTAGATAGACACTCCCTAAATAACTATCCTGCCCGCAATGCTCAAAGTTTTAAGATAATAAAACATACACACACACGATTCAAACTTTGTTCTGCTTTTCGTTACCTATTGAGCATCTACAGTTCCAGTGTACTGCTCTTTTTGTTTGTTTGTTTTGGCAAAAACAGTTTTTAAGTCCCTGACTACCCCCGTAGAAAATACAAATCATACTTTTAATGAATAATAGTTTAAAGAGTTAGTTTGTCCTCTGTCCCTACGGTGTTAAACTGATCGTATCCATATATATATCCACAAGTGCAGTTCTTTCACTCTATACATATGGTTCTGGATGGTACAGGATAAACAAAGGAAAAAGCACAAGGAGTACTGATTTTTTTTTTTTTTGGTACCAGGAATCAAACTCAGGACCTTGCACTTGCCAGGCAGGCACTGCGCCGCTGAGCTATATCCCTGGTCCTAGAGTACTGATTTAAATGGAAAAAACTGGTTTGTTTTAAGACAGAAGCATTATGTAGTTCTGGCTGGCCGTGAGTTCACTACGTAGTCCAGGCTAGCCTTGAACTTATGATGATCCTCCTGCCTCAGCCTCCCAAGTGCTGGGATTATAGGAGTGTGACACCCTACATGAAAAAAAATTAAAAGTATGGTGTGTAAAAAATAAGAAGAAAATAGGTTTATTTTGCTGTCAGGTTGCCCATGACTCTCAAGGGGTTTATGTACTTTTAATAAGCTGTTACTTAAAGTATAGATTCTGAGCAAAAACATTTAACAGAAAAATGTGTGCCTTTTGCAGGAAAAAAAAAAACTCTGAACAGTATCTCCATAAAATTATTGCTCCCCCTTTAAAAAATACTGCAGCAACTCTAAAAACAAATAAACATAAAACATAAAACAAAATAGGCATCGTAGATCTTAAAAGAAAAATTAAATTTGCTTTCCATCTTAAAGAGGGATTGTAGCTAGGAATAATACAATAAGTAGCAAAATAAAATAGAAAATTGAAAAATTATGGAGGCTTAATTTCATGGTTTTATGAACTAATCTTGAAAAAGAGGTTCATTGGGTAGGAGAAATTTAGATGGAGACCTGTCTTTTAGATTTTTTTTTTTAATTCTACCAAAAAGAGGTAGTAATGTTAACAAAAACAACAAAAAAGAGACAATTAGAATTCTAAGTAATACATTTTTAAAGTGTTTTAAAAATACAGCTGAAATTTTAATACCATGTCATGGTCTGTTTTGTGCTGCTACAACAAAATACCTAAAAATGTGTTATTTTCAAAGAATAGAACTTTGTTTCTCAGTTTTGGAGGCAGGAAAGTCCAAGATTAAGGAATGGGTATTTGATCTCATAAGGGCTTTCTTGTGCCTTGTCTTTAAGTGGTAGAACAGCAAGCTAACAAAATGTGCTGTGCAAAGCCTCTTTTCTAAGGGCCTTGATCCCACTAAAAATAAATGAACCCTGATGGCCAAATCAACTCTGAAAAATTCTATTTCTTAATATTATCATAATGACAATACCTAGATTTTAGAGTGTCACAAACAAACCGTAACACTCTAAATAGACTTTAATAATTCAGTCATGTCTGTAGTGTTCACTGTATTTATAATTATTACAATGATGACATTATCTTAATTAGAAAAGGCTATAAAAAAAGAAAATGTTTTAACATGGAAGGGAAAAACCTAATGTGGTACTCTACTAAATACTAGGGATACAAAAATAAAATAGTTCTTCCTGTCAATCAGTAGTAGGACTAGTCATAAGAAAAAGACTTTCAATCAGAACATTTGAGAAAATGTTTGTATAAATGGATGCTATGCAACACACAACATCCAGGCTGAAAGGTAATTAACGGTGATGATATCACCACTGAAGGTCAAGAAATGCTTCTTGGTGTGTGTGGAGGGGATGATCTCTAACTCAAAACACAGCAGATGAGAAAAAGATAATCAAGAAGTGAAAACTGCAAGAACAAAAATACCAACATGTCAAAAAAGGGGATATATGAGGGTAAAATTGCCTCTTCTGTAATTTTCAGGTGATTTCTTGATGGAAAAAATCTTCAAAGAAGGATTAGTAGGTTTGAGTCATATCTCCACTACTTACTAGCTTATTTATATAACTTGGAGTAACTTCTTTTCTTTCTGTGCTTCAATTTCACAATTGTAAAATACAGGCTAAAGTTCCCTTACAAGATACTGGGAGGATTAATTAATGAAAAATGCTGAGGACACTGCAGAGAAGAAAATGCTATAGAAGTTGTCTTTATTATCTTCATTATCATCATCATTATAAGAAATTTACCTCAAAAATAGTTTCCAAAGAGGCAGCAATATACTCCTAAACCAATGTATAAGATGCCTATATTTATATTTTGAAAGACAACTAATTATATGTACTTCAATTCAGATTTCTTTGGCCAAAAGATAATTTGACTGTTTTTCCATCCTCATGTAATTTCTCTTTATGTCCTTATAAGAAAAGATACCAGGGGAGAGTTAATTTGTTGTCTCTCTGTTTGTGTCAGTCTGTCTGTCTCTGCCATGTGAGGACACAGTGAAAAGACAGCTGTGTATAAAACAGAAAGGAGCCATCATCATCAACTGAACTGATCTTAATCTTGGACTTTTCATCTGCCAAAACTCTGAGAAAACTTCTGTTGGTAAGTACTCAGTCAGTGGTATTTTGTTATGGCGCTCCAAGCAAACTAATATATTGACCATTTAGTACTTTCTCATTTCAATATATAGTTCAGGTTTTGTTCATAATAATCTATTTCCCACAAATCATAAATGAAAATGGTCTTTTTTTTATTCACAAGTAAATGAAAGAATGAGAAGGTAGTTTTTAAATTCATTTAACAATAACTTAGTTATTTTATGCATTGTGACATGGTTTTAATAAGCTAAACTGCTTTTATTCCACCTATTGTGGAACTGTGTCCATAGAATTGTGTTCCTTTTTGCCAAGTCTAAGGTCAACTCTCAGCCCTTATCTTATTGAGGATGAATGTGTTGCAGTTCTTTATCATGTTTGTTACTATTCACTTACCACAACACTCCCCTCCCAGCATCATTCACCTGCCTACCATATTCATATATTGAAGTCCCAACCCCTCAGTACTTCAGAATGTGACTGAATTTAGGAAAAGGGGTTTAAAGAGGTAACTAAAGTAAAATTAGGTCATACATGTGAGTCCTAATCCAACGGGACAGTTGTCCTTCCAAAAGGAGATTAGAACATGGATACAAAGAGAAGGCCACAACACACACAGGGAGAAGGTGGTCACTTACTAGCCAAGGAAAAAGGCCTCTGAAGAAACCAACCCTGCCAACACCTTGTTCTCAGACTTCCAACCTCCAGAATTATGCGAAAATAGATTTCTGTGGTTTAACCCATCCTATTTGTAGTACTTTGTTGGGAGAGTCTGAGAAGACTACCACATAGTATTTTTTCTGTTCCATTTATTTTCAGTTTTAATGACAATAGTTTTATTATATGTTGTAGGAATTTCTCTCCCTCAATTGCTTATTAGTTATTACCACTTATTTATTCATCCAGTTAATGTTACAGTAAGTTATTCAAGTTTAAGGGGAGAAAGTCCTGGGCATTTTAAGAAGACTTAATGATATCAGTAATGAGCATTATTTGTAATATTCAGTCCCTTAAACTAGGAAAAGTATGTTGCTTTTACTAGTGCATTAATAGTAATGAATAGGGGGCTGGGGATTTAGCTCAGCGGCAAAAGCGCTTGCCTGGCAAGCGCAAGGTCGTGAGTTCGGTTCCTGGTACCAGAGAAAAACCAAAAACCCAAAAAAAAAAAAAAAATAGTAATGAATATGGTAAAGAACTGTAAAACAGTAGTCCCCAGTAAGATAAAGGCTGAGAGCTGACATTAGACTTGACAAAATGGAAAACAATTCTATGGGTTGTGTATTTTATATTCACCAATTTTCAGATAGAGAAATTGTAACCAAGAGGGCTTCAATTTATTCAAAGTTATATATTTGAGTTCCATAGGTGTGATTTTAAACCATGGAACTGATTCTAAAATCAATGTTCTTTTACAGGCTAACTCCTAGCATTTACCCTTTCCAGCACGGACTCTCAAATGCTCAGGGGTTGAGCACAGTAATGGCTGTACATATTTATTAACTGCCATGTGTCTCTCCAGAAATTTTTGATGTCTATTAAGCAGTTAATTTAGTTTATTAACTATTAGAAGACTTACAGTGACTTTTCCTCCTGCAGTGGTGGAGATGAAACCCAGGGCCTCACCTATGCTAGGCAAGTACTCTGCTACTGAGCTATACTTCTCATCCTATTTTTGGCTGGTGTGTGTATATGTGACTCATCAACGAATTTCAAAAGTTCAGCAACACATGTGAGGTTACATGCTTTCCCAATTCCCACATCCCTGCCCCCAGGTTTCTGTTCAGTATGAAATCTCTTACACTGAATGAGTCAGTCTTCTGTTGTCTCTTTATATAGATATGTTTGACATAGACCTACATATTTCTTATCAACAAAAGTATCAGATATTTTATGGACTGAGATGGAACTGTGGTTGGAGTCATTTAAAAATCCAATTTCCTAACTTGTTATTGCTGCCATTTTTTTTTATGAATATTTCTTTCATTATTGCATTAATCATTTTCTAAATCTTTACTAATATATGAGTTTTTTAATTGCTCCTATGGGAGGTTCTGGATATTAAATTATAAAAAATGAAATTTGTAGCAATCCAATCTCTTTCTATCTAATAAATATTGCTCCTTTCCTTTTCACAATTTATTGCTTATTTAGAATTTTAAGACAATATTAATTTTGATGATGGCAGCAGTCATCTTTGTTTTTTCCTGGTAATAAAAATGACTAATGTTTCATCATTAAATATTATGTTGGTTTGAGATAAGCAGATGTATTGTTTTCCTTGTTTTGAAATAAAGACAAATTAAAATTTATTAAAAAATATTTACCATCTATTGAAGTAAGTTTTTTGCTCAATTACCCAATGTAAGAATGCAAGATTGATCAAACCATTAAAGAGAATAAAAAAATAATTTAAAAAAACGCTAAAAATCATACAGAGCTTCTCTAGACAAGATGGTAGGAATTCACTAATGATTGTCATATTGCATATTGTTGTCTCCAAATTAGTTGTTCAGATTACCAGATATAAGCATGCAAAATTGATCAAAAAATTTAAGCATTAACTGTTCCTTTCAATAAACCATTAAACATCAGCAGTACAATTATCCCAGCTATCCTTTTATATAACTTCATTGAAGATAACAATATGTAATATAACAACCACTGTTAATTCCTATCATTCTGTTTTGAAATCCTGTATCATTTTTTTTGCTTTGTTTTGTTTTTATCTATTTATTGTTATTTTGTTACTGTTTTTTTATTCTCTTCAAAATAAAATAAATCAATAAAAGGCTTTAGTATGAAGTGAGTTTCTTAAAATAATGTTTGACCTATCGTTATATTAAACCCAATAGCCAAAGGAACTTACAGTTAGAAACCAGACCATAAATGCAAATAGCAAGGAACTCAAAGGAGAGGTCCAGGATGGAAATATAGATGTGTGTGTTGCCAGTACACCACAGTATTTAACCCACTGAGAAAATAATTTTTTCTCCTGCCATAGTGACCTTCCTTTGTGCCTACAACCTAGCTCCTTCCCATGAGAATAACTGTATTAGGACTTGTTGACCAGTACTTTACTAGGAGACATAGATACTGCATTGCATGTGTATCTATGAGCACGACTTCTGTTTTCCTTTGTGGAAATCATTCAGCTACCCTTACCAATGCAACTATTTGTTAAGTGAATTTGGACTCTGCCCCACCCCAGCTAATTATAACTAAGATGCAGATATGGAGCTATAAGAAATAGTTAAGCCTTGGACAAGGTGGTGTTCTCTAGTCAAGCTTTAACAAAGCATTGGGTACTTAGATAAAAGTAGCATTTCATTTCTTTTGGGCTACTAGTCATTTTTTGTTTATGGCTTACCATTATAGGAAATGAGGTATAAATGTATTTAAGAACCAAAGCCCATCCCCTTAACACTAATAAATTTCTTCTATTCTTTATCCTTGAGTTCGAGCTGTGGAAAGGTTGCCTTTACACCTCCACTGGAATTACCCTGGGTTCTCTTTCCGTAAGTTCCTACTTCTCCTTACCTAGAACTTCTATCACTTCTCCTATTCATATTTTAGACTCTTTCTCCCCAAAAGTTAGAAAAACTCTTAAAAATGAGAAAAATAAAATCTTCCATTTAAAAGTGTGGACATGTGGGGTCTCAATCAATACTTGTGGAATAAGTTAATATCCTGCATAAATCATCAATTTTAAGAATATATAGGTATATGTGATATGTGCCTGTACAACACCAACCCAACTCCTGTAGACATCATATTCGTCTAAATCAAAGAAACAAAAAGTCAAACCTTAGATGAGACTTTTTTCTGAGATAGAGATTTCACTATGTTGCTTAGGCTGCCCTCAGACTTGTCCCACCTCAGCCTTTAGAACAGCTGGGAGTACAAGAATGTAACATCACATCCAAATTATTTTCTAGATGAGGATTTTAAAGTTATACTCCAGCCAGGGATTGTAGCATATGTCTGTAATCCTAGCATTCTGGTAGGCTGAGGTAGGAAGATCACAAATTCAAGCTCAGAATAAAGAAAATTTTTACTCCAAATGTAGTAAAGATATAAAGGCTGTGACCTAAGTTGACTGGAAAATTTGTGATATTATTTACTAAGGAAATAATATATTGATGCCACCTAACAAAAGCTTTGTGAATTGATGAACATTTTGAACTTGTAAAGTTGAAAAATAATCAGATAGTAATAGAGTTTATATTCTGAAGTATCTGTTTTAAAGCTCTTATAAATTATTATTATTGCTATCAAAAAGCAACACTGGTATCTTGCTACTATTATTTAATGCCTGTAATTTAGCATACAATAGTTATTCTAATAAAATTAACAGTAATTATACAGAAGTCACGTATGCAAATATTTACTTATATACCTTCATTGTCAGTATTGAGTTTGGCTTCCAGTTCTGCTATCTTGTGTTTTATTTCAACCATTGAGAGTTGCACTACATCCCTGTAATTAAAAATACTTTTGTTAATTGCAATTTAGTTAAAAACAATATAAGACTGAAATAAAGTAACCCACCACTTTTTCAGAAACAATTTATTATGAAATATAACTTACTAAAGCCATGGTTGAGACTCAGCCAACTGAAGGTTTCTTATCAGTCACATCCAGAAGGAATTAAATATACAGGAAAGTTCAAAGCCTTCAGATAACTACCAGGTGCCCTTTACTCCTATATATGATGCCCAAAAAGTCAGCTGTCTCAAAACCAACAAATTAAGAGCTGCAAATTATTACAAAAAGGGTAGCTAAAGCCATTGGTAATAACAACCCAAAACAAAAAAATAAATAAATAAAACCCATGTGCATAAGTAGTATGATAAAAAACTAAGGTAAGTACTAACATTTTTTAAAATACATTACAATAAAAGACATGTTGTCATTGATCTCCCTCAAAATACTTTCCTTCACTTAATACATGCTTATTCTATCATTCTTGCCACTCAGTGAAGAAGTTCTAAAAGTCCTGTTTCCTGAATGTCTTGGATTGCATTGCCATGGCTGCTCTGATATCCAGAATGGATTCAAAATATTTACCATTCGTGGTCATTTTTACTTTGGGGCAGAGCCAGAAGTTGAAAGGTATAATATCTGGTGAATAAGGACATACCATGTTTTTACGAGCCTCATCCCTCAGAAAAAAAGTGGCAAAAATGATAGGATAAGTGTGTTCAGAGCTAGGAAGACTATCTTGAGGAGGGGTAACGGCAATGTTTCTTTTCCTGTAATAAGTTTTTTTTTTTTAATTTGAACATTCACTGTATACTTTGATCACCCCTGGTACACAAAGAAATTTTTTAAAAGCACCATTAAATATCATATTATAATACAGCATGATGACAAGTCATTATTCAATAAATAGTTTTGAATACCTATTATATTCAAGACACTGACAACAAAATGAACTCGTTAAAATAACAGCAATAGCAGCAACTAAAGTTCACTGAATGCTTATTGCCAACAAGTGCTAATTCTTTTACATTATATTTCATTTCATCCTGGCAATAACTACAGGAATTACTTGTATAACAATCTTAGAGCTCAGAAAGCTAAGGGTTAATTAACTTAAGATTGACTAATTACTGAGCAATAATAACTGAGAGTTGAATTTATGAAAAATTCTTCTAAAGTACTTTACAGTCTAAAGTACTTGTTCTGATCCTTTACCGCCTCAGACAACACATAGAACCTGTTCTCAAAATTTATTTTTTATTTTTTATTTTTTTTCCTGTTCTCAAAATTTTAAAAAAGGCATTTAGAAGTGTCATTGAAGCCACAATAGCGGCAAGCACAGGAGTCTAATTCTCACAGTGAGAGGGAACAAGGAGAGGTGCACTTCTGATACTGTATAGTGAAGCCATTCACACTCTACCGACCAATTAGGACACCGCTATTTTCAAGGCTTAATTTGAATCTGGTGCTGTTCACAGGACCAAACAGAAGATGCTCTTTTCAATCCCTCATTTGCATATGGGCCCCACCAATCAGGACACATTGTTCCTGAGCCTTTATTTACATACAGCAGGAAGCCCAGGAGCTTTTCCATAGGACAATTTACACAAACCAGGAATTGTAGAAACAAAAGACCCCTTTCCCTTATCCTAGGAGCACTGCGAGCCTTTTCACCCACCCACTCTCACTCTGTAGAACAAACTTCTTTGCCATCTTCAATAAAAGTATATTTCACTGCCATTTCTGTGTGTTGTCCAATTTTTTGGGACACCAAGAAACTGGAGAAATTCTCACAGGACCCTCCACCCCGTAACAATTGGGCCTGTGGGTAGGATTAGGATTATCTTTTTAAAAACACACTCAGGACATTCAACATTTTGACACGAAGTACTAATACTGTATTTCAAAGCATGTAGGAGGCTGGTAACATAGCTCAGGGGTGGAGCGCTTGTCTAGCATCTGAAAGGCCTTGGGTTGGATACCGGGCAAACCAAAAAACAAAAGTTTGGAAAAAGCATATGAAGATTACTGATTTTTACAAAATGTCACTTCTGAAGTTTTTCGAAAGGAAAGAAATGCTTAACTAAATAAAATCCTTGGAGTATGAAACAAAAACCTGCAATGTGGCAGAACATCAAAAACAAACCGGTATTTTAGCATCACAGTCTGTACACTTCGATGTGATCCTCAAGACAGAACGCGCGGCCCGTTGGTACTACCGAGCGTTTAATTAATCAAAGAAGTAAATCTTTCCCATAAAAGTGTTCGGGGAAGTTGCTCGACGCGCCCGGTACGAGTCAGGTCTCAGGTCAGCCTCAGTGGCTTCGGCAAGCGCGTGGCGGGCGGGGACGCCCCAGCGAGGCCACGAGGCGAGGCCGCCCCCGACTCACTTCATGTGGATTTCCTCCAGCAGCTGCAGCTTGAGGCGCTCCAAGCTCACACCCGCGAAGCTGTCGCCTCTCCCCTCCCCCATGGGGTCAGGTCAGAGGCCTCCCGCGCTCTTCCCCTCCGCACGCGTTACAGCATAAGACCCGGAGGGACACTCAGAAGCCGGGAAGAACACAGCGCGGTCACCGGCCGTCCCCATGGCGGACTGCCTCACAGTCGCCGGCTCCCGCGCGGCCCCGCCACGTCACTCGGTGACGTCACAGGCCGCGCCGGCGTCGCCCCGCGACTGGGGGCCGAGGGGGCTGAAACGCGCGAAGCAGGGTTGTTACCCTCGCCGCAGTGTGAGCAGCGCCATCGCTCGGCCGGCGTTGCGGCCCTGACCTTCTCCCTAACTGATGGCGGCGCTTGGGTGTGAAGGGCTTGATCGGAAGGCCAAAGGGACGCGCGCGGGTTAACAGCCACCTCCTTTGCCTCGCCTCCTGCCGGGCGCCTGTATTGCCTTAGCTCCTATTTCTCATCGTCGTGCTGGACCCGAGCATGGCTTTCCCTTGCTTTGCTTCAGCTGAGTGTGCAGCACAGCTTCTGCTTAGGTGTGTTGGAGGAGGAGCAGACTTGAAAAGACAGCTCCTGAACTCGGGAAGGTAGTCTGTCTTGGAGTTTAGGTAACTCTGTGGACTGCCCACTGCGATTAGAAATTTCATTGTATGTTAATCATAAATTTTGCATTCTACTCCTGCAGCATCTGTGCTTTAATCGTCCTTCACACCCCCAAACGTGCACTGGCTGCTATGTGTTTGAATATAGTTTGTCCCCTCCAAAATGTTGAAATTTAATGTGTTGCCTGTTAAGAGATGAACCAGGGGACCTTTAAGAAGTGATTAGCCCTTTGCTGTCCTGAGTGGGGTAATCCATTCGTCTGATGAATGGTTAGTGGTTTATCTCCAGAATGGGTCTGTTGTAAAAGCCAGTATGGCCAGGACACTCTTACGCTCTTATCTCTGGCCAGGTGAGGCCTTGTACCACTTCGGGATTTCACCAGCATAAAGGCCAATAACAGATTCAGTCCCCACAGTCTTGGAGCAGAACATGAGCCAAAGTAAACCTCCTGATGCTTACCCAGTCTGTGGTACTGTGTTACCAGCTATAGAAAATGGTTTAAAACAATATACTTTACCTTCTGAGTCTGGAACATTTCCCTGGGTCAGCTTGACAAAGGTCAGCATGAAACCATATTTTCTGCCAGAAATCAGCACAAGTGGATTATCTCTGGTAAATAATTTTTTCCTTTTTTCTTTTCTGTTCTGTTGCTTTGTTTTTCTTTTTTTAATTTCAGCTCTAGTGTTTAAAAGAGTGGCCCTTTGTAGGGGCCAGTAAACATTTTCCTTCGACAAAAGGAAAATCAAAGATTTAAAAAATAAAAAGCATATTTGGTTAATGCTTCCTTTATTTCGTTGCTGCTTACAGCATACTTTTAGAAAACCAATAATTTATGGGAAAATATTAGAAACTGACGGCAAAAATTAGAACCTTCTGGTTGCATACTTAGTTTGTACAAAATGTTGGGCATGGTGAAGCAGATCTGTAACCCCAGTACTCTGAGAGCCTGAGGCAAGAGGATTGCACATTGGGGCCCAGCCTGGGCAACTTAGTGGCTTAGAGATCCTTTCTCAAATTTGAAAACAGAACTGGGGATATAGCTCAGTGAGAAGACCCTGGGTTTAATCTCAATAGTGAAAAAAATGTACAAAATAAACCTTAGACTGATGAGCAAGATATAAAGTGGGTTTTGATACAAAAGAGATTTGATAAATTTGGAAAAATCTCTGTATTGGATGAAGTTTTAAGCAGGGAAATGACTTGAAATTGGATTGTTTCAAAAAAAACACAAATGTAGCACATTAGACTGATAGTCTTCATTGTCCAAAACAATCACCCAGAAATATAGACAGATAATATGAAGCATTTCAACTTCTGTTCAGGAATCAGCTGGACTAATAACAAGAAATTATTGTGTACAAAGTGACATGTAAGATTGTACTGGGAAAATTGTGAAACTATAGCTTAATAATTGGGCTGTCAGAGTCAACCAGCCTTGACTACACAGCTGCAGCTCAGAGATAAAATTGACTTAGCCCTGTCTGACCAACCGCACAATGGCCTACACAAATATCCTGTCTTGTCAACTTCCTTCAAGGACTGTCCATCTGGGGAAGACTAGCTCTGTCAAGGTCACATTAAATCTTGCCTGTTTTCCTGGGACCCTACCTTGCCTCATGATAAATGACCCCCTGCAATTAAACCTGCCCCAGACACATCTGCCTGACAACATATGACTCAATATATGTAGCCAATTGTAAACTAACCTGTATATATAACCAATTATAGACTAACCCTTTATTGACTTTGTACTTCTTGCTTACAGAAATGTATATAAATTGCTGTTTTACTTTAAGCCAGTGCTGATGATTTGGACCCAGTTCCCATCCTTAATAAAAGTTGCTTTCCAATTCCTTGGTGCAAAGTGTTTTACATCGAGTTTGCTACAATTTCTGCAACAAGATGTTAAACATATTCACTGCTTCCAGAGAACCCACAGTTTAATGGAAAAGTGTGGTATGAAAGAATTCAAGTAAGTCTCTGCTTAAAGATCTCATTTAATATCTATTCTCTACATTGGTAGCTTCTTCCCTTTGTCCACAGCTAGAGTTCTTACATGTTCTTTCCTTTGTAGGGGTGGAGGTGAAAATGTGCTGGTGATAGGTAAAGAGCTAGTTATGTGTTAAATATTGTTTCAACTTTTCTTAATATGTACACCTGACCCCTACATTTTGAAATGTCAAAGCCAAGAATTATTATTTTTGTTCTCCGGTTCCTTTACAGAACTCCCTGCTCCTTTAGGTCAGGGAGGCCAAGAATCATTTCCTTTCTAATGCTACTTCCAAATCACTACATTTCTGTCTGCATATATAAAAAACTACTCCTCTGGTCCACATGCCTGCATAATGCCTTCTACTCTCTGCTTACTACACCCTGAGACTTCATATCATGCCTTGTCTCTATGACAACAGAAGGATCTTTCCACTGTCTTGCTATACTCCTATCTGACTAGACTTTCAAAGAGCTGCTCCCATCCCACAGTGTTACCCTTCAAACCACAACTTTGATCACTTGTATCTCCACTTCTCTTCTACAGTCATACTTTCAAACTTGTCATCACTCAGAATGGCTTTACCTCAAATATCTTAAATTCCAAAACTAGCTACAAACCCCCCTGTCTTTTCAGCTCCCAATCAGTTACTGCTTAGACAAGTGTTTTATTCACTAAAGTTATGGTCTGGGGGCTCGTCAAATACACATACTCCAGGACCCTTTCTTATAGAACTTCTTTCATTGATAGCACACTCCAGCAGTTTTGCGCTTGAGCTGGGTTCTAAATCTATTTTTTTAAATTTGAACAGAATGTATTGGGGGTGGAGATGGAGAACATCCTTACTGGTGACTTTTCCAATGAATAACCTCCTGGGTGATCATACCTGTGACCACTTTTTGCATAGAATGTATCTTAGGACATTATTTTAGGCTTTTTTAAAAGAAAAAATCTGATCTGCCTTATTCATCTTCTAGAAGTTTTAAGTATACTATGAATACAGCAAGTCTCTGATGTACAAGCATTTGCATTGAAAACTTGCACAGATACTGAATGGACCTGGTATTAGGAATATTTGTAGATGTGAACAAATTACAGTAGTTCACATCTGTCAGATGTTGTTGCAGCTGTGTTGCAGTGTGCTTACTGTACAGTGCAACATTGCACAGCAGTGCGATGCTTAAAGCCCAGGATGTGCAGAAGCAAGAGGAAAAGAAGTGGCGCTGTGGAGGGGCCTGCCGGGAAGTGCAAAATAATATATATTTTTTGTGTCCAAGGTGTGTAAGACTCATTTTGTCAAACTTATGAACAAATTTGACTTACTGTAGAAATTACTGTGGGATAAGCTGTTCAGAAACCAATGTGATGTTCTCTTTGAAGTATTTTTGTTACTAAATACAAAAATCACAAAATTTATGAGGAAACCTGTTATAGCTTGTATCCAGATGTCCCCCCAAAGCTTCATATGCTCATAGGTGGGGCTTTTTTGAGGTGGCTGGATCCAGGGTGTGTGAATGTGGAATAATGGTGTGATAGTGGGATTAAAGGTGTGTGGCTTAGTCTACTAATTGGCTTAGAACAGTTCTTGGTGTGGAAAATGGAAGCCCCACCCTGTGCATGGGTAGCATCAATCATTAGGCTTACAGCCTGGATGGAATATAGAGTGACAGAGAAGGCAGGCTTGCTGCTGCTGATGTTGCTCTTGCTGCTTACTGCCTTTTGTCTGCTCTACCATGGACTTTTCTCTGATATCTCCCTCTACTGTGCCATCCTGCCTTGGAGTCACCTGACTATGGACTGAAACCTCTATAAACGGTGAGCTGAAATAAATGTCTTCTTTAATTGTGGGTTTCAGGTATTTTGTCTCAGCAATGAGAAAAGTAACTAAGACAAAGTCTGTTTGGAAACACCTGGTATTTAGTGGGAAAAGAACTGAGAACTAGTGTCTCTTTTACTAGAGCATTGTTTACCACACTTACATGAAAAATAGAACATAAAATGTCTAACAGCCCAAAGCCTAGCTTTTCTTAATATCAAGCAGAACACCATGCACCATGCAGTTATCAGTTCCAGAAAAGAACTCCAACCACTTCTGTGCATTGTGTCTTGCCACTAGAGTTGTCAAGGAAAACATAATACAGTCAAAGTGCTGGACAGAACAATGCATTACTTTCATAGAGAAGACACAGCAAGACCAGCCCCAGTAGTGTCTATGGATTCCTGTCTTAGTTACTTCCTTGATGCTGAAACACAATACCCAATACACACAAGTAAAAGGAGGAAAAGTTTATTTCAGCTCACAGTTTGTGGAGGTTTCTTTTCATAGTCGGCTGTCATCAAGGCAAGGTGACATAACAAAGGAGACAATTCTTTGTGTGGCAGGTAGAAGGCAGCAAACAGCAGGAAGCAAGCTTGCCTTTACTTTTTATTCCACTCAGGCTATAAACCTTTTGGGTGGTGCTACCCACACTCAGGTAGTATTTTGACTTCAGTAAATCCATTTTGACTTCAGTAAATCCATTCAGCCACACCTACTGGCTAATTCCAATCAGTGAACAAATTTAGGACCCCACACCCTTAATCCCAGTATCACACTTCCTAGCTCCAAATCTAACTCCAAAAAGCCTCACCTATAACTGCGTAAGGTTTTTGGGGAACATTAAATACAAGCCATAACAGCTCCTCACTGCCAGTGGATCTGGCAGGAATCCAATGGAGGGGAACATGTGTGTACTCTTCAACTGCCATGCAATGACCCTAAGTTCTCTCCCATGGATTCTAAAATACTTGAAGTTGCAGATGTGCCCAAGGGCCATGCACACATGCTTAGGCTGAACAAGGAATATTCACTGAGCCTCTCTGAACAGAGGAATATATTCCCATACAAAGACCAGGCTGTGTGGGTTCCTGACCTCTTTATAAGGAAGTGTTCCAAACTCAAAGCTCATTCTGATGTGGCTGGGGTGGCATAAAAAGATGGCACACACACACTTACCTGCCCCTAAAACACCTGTGAACACAGAATAAAACCCGAAAGCTCACACTATCACAAAAATCTAGACTGATGAACTATTGCTATTCTTGAGAAACTTTCTTTCATCAATAGAATTGTAACAGAAAACAAAATTCTTAAGCAGCCAGAATCAGAGGAAATTATAAAGACCATTTGTCCTCTATCTACATCCATGTATGAAAAATAAGACTGGCAAACAGTCACTCTGCTGAATAGGTCCTTCATTTTTCTCCTGATTAATACTATTTTTTTTTTTTAAAAAAACTTGGGTAAGTTACTTTACCTCTCTGCACCTCAGTTATGTATTCTGTAAAATGAAGCTCTGAAAGTACACACCTCACAGGAAAGTTAATCTATATAAAAGCACTTAGAACATTCCTACCACATAGTAGGCATTATATAAGTACCAGCTAAATTTCTATAGCCAGCAGGTCCCTGAAGATGAACCCAGAAAATGACCTAGTACAAGTAGGAGAGGGGAGTCTGTAAAGCCAAAGTAAGGAAAACCCCAACACAATACTGAAAACTATTGTTTTTCACACACTATTATACCTACTTTCTAAAAAAAAGTGAAACATAGGGAAAAGGCCTAGTCTTAGTCCTAGCATTACAAGTATTCTCTGTTTTACCCAATATCCAGGGTCTTTGTATCCTGAACAAAGAATTGAACAGGACACACAAAAGAGCAGAGATTAAAAGGAAAGTATGTGCTCCACAAAGTAGGAGCAGGCCAACAAGAAAGCTCAAGTGTGAGTTTGACTTTAAGTGAGCCTATCTGCTTTAAATTTTGAGATATTTACTGGGACCTTTCCCAAGTCTTAGGTGGCACTAATAGGCACTTTGCCTAATTGAGTCTCCACCCTCACATCAGGAGGGAGTTTTTGAATTTACATGGGTATAGAGGAAACAGCATGTCTGCCGAAGCCCACCAAGAGTGTCAGACCCACAATGCTACTGATATTATAATGACCACGGTATAAACCTTGGTTACTGTAGAGCAGGTAGAGCCCATACCCTTCAGGCTCATGCCAGATCTCAAGGAAGTGCTAAGAACAGAAGCATCTTTTAGGCGCATGCTGGATGTCAAGAAGTATGAATAGAGCAAGAACATTATCTTTTAGGCCCCTGCCTGGATGTTAGGAAAGTATGGTTAGAGTAGGATGCTCTTGTAATATCCAAGAACCAAAGGCATCCTGCCTGTTGGGAGCCTAAGGATGTGTCCCATACTATCTCCTCAATGGTCTATTTGTGCTGCTGTAACAGAATACCTGAGACTGAGTAATTTATAAAGAACACGCATTTTTCTCAGTTATAAAGGCTGGAGACTCAAGTTCAAGGCACTTGCTAATTCAGTGTTATAAGAGCCTGGTCTCTGCTTCCAAGATGGTACCTTGTTGTTGGGTCCTTTAAATGGTGTAAGGATGAAGGGAAAAAAGAGAATTACTTTATCTTCACATGGCAGAAGGCCAAAAAGGGCCTTGCTACTTCTCCCCAGCCTTTTTTTATAAGGCATAAATACTGCCCCTGAGGTAAAGAGCTCATGGCTTAATTAACAAGACTATCTCAATGTTTCAGTGGGGATTAAGTTTCAATATGAATTTGGGAGGGTACACAAACATCTAAACCATAGAAGGCCTCTAAACAATAAAAACTGGGCTAAGATGTTGTGGTTAATTTTGTGGACCACAGGCTGCCTAGACACTTTAGGTGTGCTGTGAGGGTATAAAAGATAGACACTTGGTTCAGTTCCTGGTTCCTGGCACACAGCTATTAAAATCTCAGGATTTCCAGTTTTACCATTCATAATTAATGCCCTTTCAACCATACCTGAGTTTATGTTAATAAGGTGATTCTTAGATGCAGGCTGCTTGCCAGAGAAATCAACTAACTAGAAGACTAAAACTTTCAATTATATTTGACCCTCCACCCATGACCTCCAGGGTCTGGGTGAGGGCTAGGAATGAGTTAATAACCAGTGGCCAATGACTTAATTATGCTTCTGTAATGGGGCCTCCATAAAAACCCTCCATGACTGGGTTCAGAGAGCTTTTGGATTGGGGAATACATTCATGTGCCTGGGAGGGTGTTACATCCAACTCTATGGAGACAGAAGCTCTATTTTAAGACACAAGTCAGCTCACTTTTTCTGTAAAGGGTAAGACAGTAAATATTTTAAGATTTTGGGCCCTACAATGTCTTACAACTACAAGACAGCAGCCACAGACAATATGCAAACAAATGTATATAACTGTGCTCCAGTAAAACTTTATTTTTGCAAAAACAGGTGGCCAGCTGGGGCATCTCTGCAGACCTCTGGTCTAATATAACTTTTCAAGCTTTAGGCTTTACTACATGGTGTTCTATTTCTTACAAACTTGAGCAAAGCAGAGACTGACTGGAAGCTATTTAGTAATTCAATTTTATTTCCATTTTAACAATTAGAAAAACACCCCACCAATTCTGTGTTCCTGAAACACAAGCCCAATAAATAAATATATTTGAGGCCAAGCAAGTCAGAGAACTTTTTTTATTCACAAAGTGCATTCTTTAGCTAGTTTCAAATAAAGTCTAATAAACTAGCCACTAGCGGTTCAGAAATGATTATACAGATGATGGCTGTTTACCGTGATCATGAATAGAACCTTTCCTTGTAAATTATTAGCTTTTAAATATAAATTCCAACAACTGAATCAAAAAATAAGAATATATTTATCATTAGTAAATTTAACTGCTTATGTTTTTGTTTTTACAAAGGTTTTAGTCAATAAAGCTGATGATAATTACTTTAAGTTTTAATAAATACCAGTAATACTGCAAAATTTCCTAATACTTCAAAACCAGTCCCAATCCAGAAGACGTAAAGATGTATTTTTATTCATTTTAAATGAAAAAGACCTCATTTCCTAACAGGCAAGCTTCCAAATAGTTTTACTTAGCTTCATTTTTATTTTCCATGATCAATCTCTTGTCTTGAAAATGTTTTAAAGTGTCATCTGAGAATTTTTTAGATTATAGTTATTTAGCTTACACACTGAAAATTCTGACAAGCATCTAATGAGATCCACAATTAGTGCAAAAAGAAAATAAAGTATTTTAGAGGTCACTCTTTCCTAGTATAAATACATCTGAGGTTACTGAATACCAGATTTTATGTAACTATGTAATTTTATGTAAATATGTAATTTCCTACTTTTCTTCCTGAAAGAGAGCAGATAGAAAAATATTAAGTTTAGTGAAATTTATAGCTCATGTTTTATAAGCTGTACTTTAACTACAAAAATATTTTAGTCACATTTAGGGCAAAAATAAACTTACTGAGAATATAATTTCATTATTTTTAAAGGCCAGATGCAAGAATGCTGATTGTTTTCCTTACAAGTGGAATACATGCCAGAATACTTATGGCAGTCATTTGACAGGAATGAATACATTAAAAGAAAATACTGATTAATCTGTGGCGAATTCCACATTTGCTTATTTTACAAAATTTCCTCCATTTGGTAAGGCTTTGGTACAGGTAGTTTACACCACTTCCATCATTTATCTTTCTTCTTTGCCTCCTTCTTCTCATTCTTCTGTTTCTTCATGTTTGGATTTGATGTTCCTTCTTCATCTTCCCTCTGAGAATCATCAATTATTTGATAGTCTTCAAGGAGTTTTTGTCCTGTGTGTTTTGCAGTTTTCTTCACCATTGCTTTGATACCAATGTTGTCAATATTATAGGCAGTTACACCAACATTGATGGCAGAATCCATTGCGTGGTGTGTAGCTTCTCCTGCATTATGCCCATATCTTAAAAAAGAGAGAATGTACAGTGAAATTATAAATATAGGTTGTTAATCAGTCAGTTTTTAATCCTCTCTTTTTGGAAATACCTGTATAAGGAAAAATTTTCACTGAAGCAACTACAGGACACAGAATTTAGAGTCATTATAAATGATCTTTGAAACTATGGGAGGCTGCATTTGTCTTTAAGCAGAGATTCTATGACATTCTCCTAAATACCATACTCTACTGCAAACTCACTGGTCTTCCTGCTGTTCCTTCAATCCACCAAACACATGAAGACCTTAGGACTTCTGTACCTGCTAATCTCTGCCTGGACTTTGCATGGCTCAGTGTACCTTCAAGTCAGTCCAACTATTAACAGTATCTACCTTCTTTTAAATGGCCTTCTTCCACATGCCCCACCTCAGTGCCCATCAATCCCCTCTTAAGCTGCTCTTTCTTCCATAACTCACCACTTTGTACATAATATAGAACTTATTAATGACTAATCTTTTATGTCCTACTTGTCTGTCTCACCAAAATATAAATAAACCCCACTGGAGATGAGAATCTTCATTTTGTTCATTAACATATCCTAAGCATCTATTATAATGCCTGACATTCAATAAATATGTAGTGAATGAGTGAAATGAGTAATACTTGCCCTTTCTATCTCAGTTTCTTAGGCATCCAATGTATAGCAAAGTTCTTGTGAAATTATAAAACATAAACAGAATAAGCATCAATATATCTTTAATGCCATGCCTGAGAAAACACAATCCGACATCCTATATAAAGGTTCTAAACATATCTCCCTATGTTTTGTTTTACTCTTTACTCCTATTTCTGGTGCCAGCCTTTTAATGTTTTTCCAACAAACAAACAGCAATAATTAAAAACCTGCAAAATTTTACATTTTCTCTTTCACATGAAGTTTCAGACGTGCTTTGTGACCTATATCTGCACATTTTATATTAACACTGGAGACCTACCTTTTGAGTGAACAGGTACTCTATTTCTATTAGCTTGGGCTACAACAGTAGTTTATGACACCCACTGGGTTGTTTGTGCTTGGCTTTTTCTCTTTTTTAACACCAATGCTGTAAGCATAATCTTATTATGGCCTTGAATGATTATTCCATTCTGACCTTTGCCTTATGTTAAGAATTGTATTAAAGCTAGCACACGGCAGAAACTACAGTCAGTCAAACTTTACATCTATACTATTCTTGACCAGGGGCTTTCTCACCAGACACAAAACAAAAGCCTCTTGTAATTACTTTGCGCCACACTTTGTAATAGCTAAGTCTTGGACGCTACCCAAATGTCAACTGATCAATAAATGGATTAAAAAGATGTGTTTTTTTATATAGTGGAATATTAGCCATAAGGAGAGATAAAATTCAGACATTTATAACTTAATGGATAGACCTTGAGACCACAAATGTGAGTGAAATAAATCCGACAGATATGTAAATCCCTGGTGTGAGAAACTGAAAATATAAATCAGAACATGAATATATAATAGATATTGTGAAACAGGAAGAAACTTTTCAAAAAGAAAAGGGAAATAGGGGGAGGGGAAAGGAAGGAAGGGAAAGAAAAAAATAAGGATAAAAAGAAAACTGAGCTTTGTGAACAGAGAGGGTAAGGGGGGTTGAAAAGAGGGCACGGAAATGGGAAAAAAAAGAGGAAATAAGCTATGTCATGTACAGACACAAATTCCCTATATGAATGAGATTGTTATGTCTATCTAACTTGTACCAATAAACAAAGTTTTAAAAATTACTTTGTGCCAGTCCTCACAGTTTTGCAACCCCTCAGCATTCCACAAGATTTGCTGATGCTGCAGAAGACACAGGCCCTCTCCCAGTCAACTAACCCAGGGTCAGAAATACTACAGGTGTCAATAGTTCTGACTAAACAAGAAGGGATTATGGAATCTCAGCACTAAGAAAGTGACTATAACACTTGGTGGTAACAGGTTTCTCTTCATGCTCACCTTTCCAGGTCTGTGTAAGCCTGGAAATGAAGCGAAACCACAACTCCGAAATTTGGCCAGACATGTTTTCCACTACAGGAAATTTTGACCTTACCAACTTTTACTTCTGGACAGCCAGAATGTTCCTGAGGCAGCTTAATACCCCTCACTGTACTCATGATATTTCTATGCGTTAACACAATTCTAAAAGCCAGATTGCCATTAGTAATGTATTAGAAATGAAATCTACTTTAGTATCTGGTTGGTTTTGCTTGCCCTTCCATGCTAATGCAACATTTCCTGGGAGAAAAAGTACCAAACTAGGAGTCCAAAATCTAGGTATCTTCTTATACTGACTAGCCACACATTTTGGCCGATCTTCTCCTCTCTGTTATCTATCTCACAAAAGGACATGCGAAAGCATTTGAATACTCTAAAGTACTAACATGTCTTAAGTGGATTTTATCAGTTGTGTTCTTTTAAAGTACATCCTCGCCTATCACCTATGCCTTCCTGTACATCTTAGAAGCAGTTTTCCAAGTAAGCATTTATTACTCTCTTCAAGAATCATTATACATGCTCTTTTAAACTATGGGAATCTGGGAATCCGAGTCTGTCTTTAAGCAGAGGTAACTGCCAGTCTTTTTCTTCAAATTTAAACAACAGTGCAAAACAATTCCTAGAAACCTTATGTCTGGCAAGAATATAAAGCTTATTTTAGGTATAGTTTTAATAAATTCACTTAATTTTGATCTTTACATACTAGCACTACCAGCTGAACAATAAAAGTTAGTATGAAGTATGCCCTACATAAATCAATAGGATTTAATTTACAGTGTGAATCAGACTTTCAGAAATTTCTCCACTGTGTTCAGGGATGTCTGTCTACAAAGACAACACACTGGCAATGATTCTAGATTTTACTAATTATAGCAGCATTTCTGCAATATCAACTTTCAAATATGTCTGCCTTTAAGTCAATTTTATGTAACTATCAAAACTATTCTTGGAAACACTTCAGATATTTAAAGTAAAAATAGCTGTAAATTAATCTATCCATGCAACATAGATGGCTTGTTTATGAAGGAACCTGTAGATAAAACTAAGTAGTTTAAAACAAAATCTAAGCAAAGGAATAGCAAGCTCAAACTCAGCAACATGTCTAACTGTGGCTGCACTGTGAACTGAAGGGCACAAGACTAGAGGCAAAGAGACCAGTTAGGAACAGGTGTGAGCTCCATGAAAAACGTGCGAGTCTATCGGCAGGTAGTGAGGTTTGAGAGCAAAGACTAAATATAAATTTCAATAGGACATGGTGGTGTGAAGTCTGCAGTGGTATGCAGTTGGGATGATTAAGCCCAAAGATTAAGACAAAAGTTAACAGAAAGCACAGACCCTTTTATAAAAAGTAGGCAACAGAACAAAGTATAAAACCTCACCAAGAATAGTCATGAATGTGTTTTGCTGAGAATATGGTAAAATGGAAAGGTAAGCTAAGTGAGAACAATGCAAGGAGATCTGTAGACTGCTAATCCATTAATCTTAAAAAGCATTAAATATCAGAACAAGATCAGTCAGTGAAGAAAGTAAGCAAGCATGTGAGTAGACTTTATCCATGAAAATTTCTGGGAAAAAAATTTATACATAAAATTCACCTCTTTTATATCTACTGCTAAATCTAACTGGAAAAAGCTGGCTAATATGACTCACCTCAAAAGCAAAATCTTAAATGAAACAATGACTTAATGACAGGTTAAAAGTCAATGAAGTAAAATTAAGCAGTATAAACAGAGGATCTTATTTTAGGCATAAGTAACAATTATCCAAAATAAGATAAAGGTCTAGATATAAAGGTTTACTTTTTTAAAAGTCTAAAAAGTTTTTGTTTCTCTGGTAGTGCTAAGGACTGAACCCAGGGCCTTTGCACTGAGCTAAATCCCCAGCCTTTCTTTTCTCTTTGCCATTTTTATAATGTTGAGACAATGTCTAAATTTTCCAGGTTGGGCTCAAATCTGTCATCTTCCTGCCTCAGCCTCCCAGAGTGCTGGCATTATAGGTAGGCACCACCATACCTGCAAAAAGTGCAAGTTCCATGTGAGGTAATACAAAATACCTACCAAAATATATACTCTTTGTCTTGTGTGTCATATTTATCAAGAACAAAATATGACCAAAACGAGGGCCAACAAATGCCATTATATTTGAACTGACCACAACAAATGTAGACAGCATCAGATTTAATTTTAAATGCTGTATTTTGAGAACACTATAAAACTTCATTTGTCCCTAACTAAATACACATTGAAGATGAGCAGAAGGAGGACCTGGAAACCATATTACTATATGTGAAATTGTTAAAGGAACTGAGAATACTTAGAAGATAAGAAAAAAACCAGTGATAGACTTAGAGACAGTATTTAAATATTTCTACTAATACCTAGAAGAGTGAAGAATGATTCCAAATAACTCCCAATAGGTATCATATAGAACTGGTTTCAGGTATAGGACATCTGCCAATGGAGGCAATCTTTCAACTCATGCAAATTTAATAGAGATCTGAATTAAATTTCACTAAGCAAATTGTAAAATACAGTGCCACAAAACAAATTTCTTACAGGAAAATATTTATCCTTAAACTTATTTTCCATAAATACATAATCAAAGATAAAATACTGCTAAGGGAAAATAAAGGTAAATCTAACTTACTACACAGTTATGTTACTTGCCTTAAAACAACTTCAAGTGCAACAAAAGCAGCTTAGTAGTGAAATCTAGAAGCTATGTAGAAGAGTAATGAATTATTTAATAGGAACTATACTGTAAGGATAATGGTTTTAAAGTTACTTATTGTTTTCACTGTCCCTGTAGGTCATCATGTTCCTAAATCTAAAATAAGACAAAAGTATTAATGTAACTGACAAAACTAAATGGGTCTTAATAATTCCTATACATTTACCTAAAAATGTTGAGGTAGGTAAGGAAGTTTATATAATACATTAGTTTCTCCCAGGCATAATACATACAATTTATGTAGATTTAAAACAACTTCTTGGGAGAGTAATGTTTTATCATAGGCAGTAAGAACACAAATATTATTTATTATACCACCACCACAAATACTCTATCTACTGACAGTATAGTAAAAGCTACTTAACTAAATCTTCACTTGTTTTATTTTCTCCCTACTTCATGTACCTTTGCAGGAATTGATAAAAAGAATACCTGTACACACTATACAAATAAATTAACTCAGAACCACTATTAAAATATCCTATTTGTTATATTAATCTTTTTTTTTTTTTTTTTTTGGTTTTTCTCCGGTACCAGGAACCGAAGTCACGACCTTGCGCTTGGCAGGCAGGCGCTTTGCCACTGAGCTAAATCCCCAGCCCCTGTTATATTAATCTTGACTAAGGACCAAAATACAAAATCAACATTAGAACCCAGTATTTCCTACTTATGTGAATCTCAAACTTGGAGAAACCCAATAAGCACGTCCATTTTCTAATATGACTGCCTAATTGTTTGTCTAAAAGATGATGATGATAATAATCTAACCACAATTCACTTTTGGCCTAAAAGGCATGTCTAACTTTTTCCTCTTCTTACTACAAAATATACTACACTTCTAGCTGTATCTGAGCAATTAAGGTCAGATACATAATTAATGACTAGTAGTGAGAGATCACTATGTTTTATTTGGAGACAGAATTTCACTAAGTCGCTAAATTGCCCAGGCTGGGTTCAAGATTGTGATCCTCCTGCCTGGGACTACCAGACTGCTGGGATTATAGGCGTGCACCATTAAGCCCAGCTTAAAAGTTTAATCTTTATTTGGGGTCCTAATGTATAAAACAGAGATAGTGTTAAAAAAAATCAAGTGACTCAAATGTTGCTAATAATAAATGGGGAATAAATACAGATGACCAAGAATACTGAACACCATTAATGTTACTATTCTTTTTTCTTTGTAAGAACCAAACTAAATCAAAGCTACGATCAACTCTAGTCCTTCAGACTAGATTTAATTTTCAGACCTTGATTTCTCTAATACTTAAAGATAATATGGTCAGGAGGAAAGAATTTATAGCTGAAAGCAGATCTTGCTGTAAATCCCATCTTTGCCACCACTTGTCATAAATCTGTTTACAGTTGTTGCCATGATATCCATTTTTAGGCTTACCACAAGTTGTATGAGCCATGTGGGTCCTTTCACATTTGGACTAGTTAAAATTCCCTTTCTGGTACAGTTGTTTGTAATTCAGCCCACTGTTCCTCTTCTGAATGACTCAAAAAGCTAACACATCCCACAGCTGCTGACTACAGTAAAAAACTAATGGTCAACACCAGACTCATGTGAGTAAATTTCTCTCAAACTCAGAACTCTGCACTTGCCAAGCAGGTAAAGTGCCACTGAGCTATATTCCCAGCCCCCTTGTTTTCTTTAAACTACCCAATTCTCCCCACCAAAAAGCCAGAGATGCAATAATGCCCTTAGTACCTTAATTAATAAGACTACAGTCCCACAGGCTCACTCTCCCTCTCCCTCTCCTCACCATTTGCTCTTGCTACCCCACTGCTTTTACTTTTCCTGTTTTGTTGTACTGCCACCTCTGTCTAACCTTTCCAGCACATCCAAAACTCTCTTAACAGGCAACATCCCAGAGAGTATCTATTTTAGTAGAAATAAACTGGATAATGTCCTGAGGGTGTCTACCAGCACAAACTAGTTTCTTGTGAGAGGGACACCTAATCCCTTGGACACTTATGTGCTTTATCATCCACCACAACCACTATGGAAATGAATAAGGAGATTCTTCAAAAAAGTAAAAACAGAAATTCTATTTGGCCCAGTTATTCCCTAAGTATCTTCTCAAAAGAGTTAATGACATCATATTAGAATGATATATGCATGCCCGTGTTTGTAGCTATACAACTTATAATAGCTAAATCTTCGAAGATTATATGTCCATCAACAGATGAATGCATAAAGAAATTGTGGTATTTACATAAGAGTACTACTTTGACAAAAAGAATAAACTTCAGTCACTTGTAGAAAAATATACCTCAAGATCATAATGTTAAATGAAATGAATCAGACACATAAGCTTAAATACTGTATGGTTTCTCTATAGAAGAAACCCAAATTACAAATCAAAAGCAAAATAAGATAGATAAAAGGGAGACATCTTTCTCAAATGGGAAAGGGATCAGGAGAGTAAGGGGATAAAAAAGAATAAAAATGTATATATACATGTACTAACCCCACAAGGAATGTAAACATTATGTACTACAAACATGTACTAATAAAAAAACAACCTCTTCTGGAGTCTCAGTAGGTAGGTAGGAGTAGAATTTATAAGCATTTTTCAGAGAGATCTCCAAGCCAAATCAGAAAGAAATGCCACTGATCAGAAAAGCTTGTACAAATCATTCATTTCCGAGTTTGTTCATTTCTTAAATGAAATATAAGAATATTGTCTTCCCATTCCAAAATAAATATAAAGTGGTAAAGTCAGGTGTATCATAGTTTAACAATCTTAGTATACAGAATGGGTTATATTATAATGGGCACTATAGTTTTTTCAAGTTTTGCAGGCAAACATCACCGTGAAAAACATGTATTATCCTTAGTAAGACATACAAAAATTCCAGGCTTTTAAAAAACAAACCTATTACTTACACTAATGATTAACACTTATAATAATTAATAACATAAAGCAAAGCTATAGGAATTCTATTTTGCTAAAAATATTATTCTCTCTCTTTAGGAAACATAATGAGTGAAAAGAAAATTGTTCCACTAGATATTTAACAAAATAAGCACCCAATCATCTTAAGTATCATGGACTTTTACAAATGATACAAGAGATTTATTTATTATAATGACAATATCCAACTTACTTGTATCTGACCGTTTGTACAGTCTCAGCTGAAACATTGTCAACAATGCATTTAGCTGCACATTCCAATCCCTGCCAGACAGTTGAAAATCCTGCAAATATATTTAAAAGTCAATCAAGTTCAAAGCAAACAGATCTTCCTAGTTAAAATTATGAGAAATGAGGACATAATCAGGGGGAGGTAGAGTACTTACTCAGTATGCATACAGCCAGTGGTCAATCCCTAGAACTGCAAAAATAAATTTAAGAAATACAAGTCTGGGACTTTTTATTACCTTGAACACTACTTGCTGCAACAACCATAGCACCATCCAGGGTAGATTTTCCATCTTTGTCTCTTTTAAGAGATTCTGGAACAAGTTTGCTTCCATGCTTCTTAACATGTGGAGCTAATTCTTTTCCAACACAATTTGCTACAGTGCAGACTCCATCAACTAATGTAACCATAAAAAAAAAATCTTAGAAAAATTGTTCTTTTCTTGATTTTACCACTATTACTTAGCAAATCTCCTAAACAAGCATTGTAGAATGCTTGTAGAATGTAGAATGGTTCTTCTGCAAGGTTAATGTTTCTACTTAAGGATAAGATGCTAGGCTGGGTAGTTTTAAACAATGGCTACCATTTGGTTTTAAAATGTAGTTTCAGAGTCTACTGATAATCACGCCTCTAGGGTTTACATGTTTTTCTTGGTACTTCTGTTTAAAATCATCCCTTTTTTTCTATCTGATTGCTGGAATACAAAGCCAATAAGTATAGCTTTAGTATTTTCCATCTAAGCATACTTATATTTTTTCTGTAAGTATCTCGGTGAAATAATAGTATGGTATTTAAGTCTGTGAAAACATACAACCTAAAATCTGCGTCACAGAATACTAAATATCAAAAAGGATAATTTCATTAAATTTAATAGTAATCATTAAAGATTACTTTGATCATTTTAAAACATCAAACAACTGCTATGATTCTTAAGCAGAAGACTGGCAGTAAATTACTAAGGCTACTTTGCTTAAACAATACTGTGTATTTCTCCCTCTTGACCTTCAACTACTGTAGTGAGCTGCAGGACTCCAAAGAATGTGTTATAGCCCTCAGATAGATTCAAGGCTGGAATTCAGATACATTCACATCTGCTTTCAGAAACGTGTACTCTCTAACATATACAAACAATCCTTTAATCAGTTTCTCAAAATTCAATATGTGAAAGACTCACCAAGTAATCTTAGAAACAGTGCAGATTCTGAACCAAGCGTACCTGATGCCTGAAACTCTGCATTTCTAAGACCCCTAGTTGGCTGCAATACAAATAGGTTCCAATACAAATAGCAAGATGAAACTGTTTTGTCCTAATTCTCTTTTTGAAATTAAACTATCTAAGTGAACATTTAAATTAACTATAGATTAAGAGATTTTAACTACTTTACCCAGGAATTGGCTGACTTTGGCTGCTCCTCCGGTAGCCTGCTTGGCTATATAAAGTCCCCTGGAGACAGCTGGACTAACTTCCACTGGTTTTTCTTCTGGCTGAATCCGTTCTCGGAGTTTGGAAGCACCTTTCTGGATTGCTTTGCCAGTAAACTCAGCACCTTTGACTAATCCCCAACTCACCCAGGAAGCACCTTTTTAAAGGAGAGTTTAAAGTTACATAGTATTAGGGATGATTATACCTTTAAATTTTTTAATAGAAAACATCAGCAAGAAGAAAATAAAAGGAATTAAATATCCTGATCCTGAACGTACCATGAACTTTTAAGCCAACTTTGTACCTACAGTTTTCTACCTGGAATATATGCTTTTTTTAATTGAACTTATCTTTTAATATTTAGGTCACACATCTCTCCAGGACAGAATTTTGCATTATTCTATGCTGCCACTACAACTTGTATGTCTCTTTTCATGTTACTATAATTTACTTCTTTAAGATACTAGTTTTAAGTTTTGGTGCCATTAACCACTTAACAGTCCAATTGCTAAAATACGGGATGACCAAAAATGGCGTATTTTTTCATTAATTTTTATAAGATAATATAACAGGAAATATATGACAATTTTATCATATTTATTCAATACAAGAATCGACTGGTTGAAATGACACCTGCCTGAGCAATGCGTGGCATAGTCAGTATATAAACAAACACACTGCCGGAGTGATGTTCGGAGTAAACTGTTAAGCAGTCAAAATAGTATTTCACAGGAGAATCCAGATGTTCTTCTTGCCTTCCTCCAGGTACCAGTCCCCCATGATATTTTGAGGGAGAAATATTCAAAGAATGCAAACTGGAAAGTAAAGAATCTATGTTTCAAGTACTACAGAGAACTAGATCACTTTAAGCTGACAGCATTAGGCCTTCTTCAATTATAAACCTAAACCCCTGGAACTCAGCATCAAAATCTCTGGAATACCTAAACCATGTACGATTAAGAGAAAATCAGAATGAGAACAAAGACGTGTAGCTGAATTGGCCAATTCTCTAACTACGGGCCCTAATTCTTTGCTTTGTTTCCTCTTCTTGGGGCACAAATGACAAAGCAGTTGCCAGAGAGAAACAAGGATGAGAAGGTTCTCAGCCAGTGGGCAAGTAGAAAAAGGAGGAATGGGAAAGAGAGAAGCAACAGGATTAACAAGAACACTCACTGTCTTCTAAGACGAAAAGTGTTACCCTTCTCTGCAGAGAGCTTTCAATTTAAAATATTTCCTTTTTGATTAACCCTGAAAAAAAGTGAGCTTTTAAAGCTGTTCATATAAAACACTTCAGTAGGTTTTCTCAAGGTCTGTGGTGTGGTTTTACATGATTAGTCTATATGAGTTAGCACCAGGTGAGCATATGAAAATGATTTTTAAAAGATGCCAACAACACAAAGAAGTAATAATACTAAAATTTCTTTTCCTTTCCATCCCAAAGAACATTCACTGACATCCCTAATTTTACCTTTCTTAGCTTACGTCTCATTGTTTGCACATAGGTAACATCCGATAGCCACAACTTAAAGCAGCAGAGTTTTATTTGGGCTCATGGATTCTGTCCAAGGTCAGCAGCTCTGAGGCAGGAAAGGTATGGTGGAAGGGTCTAGTGGAGGGAAGGTGCTCCACATTATGGTGACTGGGAAGTAGAGAACGAAAGAAGGCGACAGAGAGAGCCACAGACCCTGCCACATCACATCCTCAGTGACTCCCCTCTTCACACCTACCTCCTACCTCCTCATAGTACATTAGCTATAGAGTCATCAGTGGATTACTCTACTGAGAGTATAACACTCTCATAATCCACTCGTCTTCCAAACACATGAGGCTTTTGGGGGCCATTTTAGATATAAACTATAACACCAACTCATGGGCCTACCCAATCACCAAATCTGGGGAGGACCAGGTGGCAAACCCAGGCAAACAGGCTCTGATAACAGTAAAAGATTTAAGCATGTCCATTCAAAAAAAGGACAAAGTATGATTTCATAGTTATAAGAAAGTCTGTAAGAAACAAAAGGTGTGGAGTTCACTGACAACTGAGAAAAATAAATGGAAAGGAGATACACGAAAAGTCACAGGATTGATAAAATCAACATGGTACTGGCAAAAAACAAATAAACAAAAAACAGACCTGACGATCAGTGAAACAGATTAGAAGATGTAGACACAACTACAAACACACTCAGCCACCTTATCTCTGACAAGGGTGCCAAACACATTCACTGGAAGAAAGATAACCTCTTTAATAAATGGTCCTGAGAAAAGTGGCTTTCCACATCCTAAAGACTAAAACTAGCCCCATGTCTATCACCATGCACTAAAGTCAAAATGGATCAAAGATCAAAATATGAAAACAGAAACACTAAACCAACTGGAAGAGAAAGTAGGTAGAAATCTTGAGGACATGGGTAGGCAGAGAGTTCATGAGTAAAAACCAAAGTGCATGGGAAATACTTCAAAGAATCAACAACTGGGATCTCATCTTATTAAAAAGTTTTTGTACATCAAAAGAAATCACCAACAGAATGAAAAGAAAACCCACAAATTGGGAAAAAAATTTAGCTAATTGTCCCTTGGACAAAGGACTTCTATCTAGAACATATAAAGAATTAAAAAAGTAAGACCCCCAAAATTCAAAGACCCAATCCAAAAATGGGCATCTGAGATGAATATATACTTCTAAGAAGAAACACAAATGGCAAATAAATATATGAAAAAATGCTCAACATCACTGGTCATTTGAGAAATGCAAATTAAAACAACCCTGAGATTCCAGCTGACCCCAGAAAGAATGGCTATCATCAAGATATCAACCAGTAACAAATGCTGTTGGGGCTGTGGGGAAAAGAAACCCTTCTCCATTGTTGGTGGAAGTGTAGACTGGTACAACCACCGTGGAAATCAATGTGGCGATTCCTCAAGAAACTAGGATTAGAGGTCCCATTCGACCCAACTATTCCCCTTTTGGGTATTTTTCCAGAATAACTGAAAACATCATACCGCAGCAATATATGTACACCCATGTTTATAGCAGCACAATCTGTAATAGCTAAATCTTGGAAATAATCCAAGTGCCCACCAACAAAGGAACAGATAAAACAGATGTGTTTTTATACAATGCAGTACTACTCAGCTATAAAAAAAGATAAACTCAAGGCTTTTGTAGGTAAATGGATGCAATTAGAGACCATACTGATAAGAGAAATAAATCAGACTTGCATGTGTAAACATCATATTGTCACCCTAGTGTAAGAAACTGAAAGAGTATGTAAGATCCAAAAGGTACAATAGATATTGTGAAAGGGAAAGAAACTTCTCAAAAGGAAAGAACAACTGGGATGGTGGAAAGGAAAAAAATACACACACACACACACACACACACACACACACACACACGATAGCTAATATAATGGTACTACTAATTTCTATTAGTTCATTGACAGAAACAGTCACTGTTTATATTGTTTGATCAATCTTACATGCCTACATCTGTAATCTGAGCAATTACTTTGAAGATAACAATATGCAATATAATAACCATTATTAATTTCTTATCATTTTGTTTTGAAATCCTGTATCTTTTTCAATTCCCTTTAAAATCAAAAAGTCATAGGACTAGTAAAGAAAAATACTAGATGTAAATGATTAATATAGTGTCACCATGCAAGAGCATAACACAGGTAAGAATTTTAAAACTGTAGGCATTGTAACAGAAGATAAAGAAGCCTAATACAGTGTATTTCATTACTAGCTATTTAAGTCTTCTAAATTGCTTGTGTACGGGCAGATACAGGTAGGTTCTATTCAAGTTAACGTTTTATACTCTCAGGAATGCTGACATATTGCAGACAACGAATATGTGCTTAACAAATGAGAGGTTGGTGGGTAACTTAAAATCATCTAACTCCTAATACCATCATTTTGAGAGTTAGGATTTCAACTATGAATTTTTGTGGTGGGACCCAAACATTCAGATTACAGGAGTGTAGGGGGTGATATTTCAGAGAAGAAAGGAAAGTAACCAACTATATGTTCAAGGTATTTGAGTGTTTGGGGATTCCTGAAGCTTTTCACTACTAATTTTCCCAACAGTAAAACAGATAGTAATATGCCAGGAAGAACTTATAACTTATACCTTCTTATGCCAGGAAGAACTTATACCTATAACTTATACCTATAACTTATACCTATAATATGTGATGTTCTAAGAAACTAGTTCCTTTTGCTATTAAGTATTTATAAGTTAATTTTTTTAAAGTAAAATACAAAATGTTATCTTTGTAAATATTCTGTTATAAACAGTACCTTTACTGTATCCCAAAAGTTTCAAATTATAAGGAAAAAAATTAACATTACTATAATACCTGACAAAATGTTTTGAGCCACTTTCTCACTCCATTCAGGTAATTCTTTTGCTTTTTCTTCTGAAACTGGCTCACAGGGTACAATGTGACTCAGATTCACTTCTTCATCTGAAGTACCTTTAGTCTAAACAGTAAAAATGTTTCAAAATATAAACATGAAGTACTGAAGAGGGGAACTGTAAGCATTATATAATAAAATATTATATACTAGACAACAAATACTAGACATAATTAATGAAAATATCTCTAGACAGTTACTAGTACAACTTATACAGTGCAATACAAGAACTGGCATACAGCTAGACATCATTTTGGTCTTATATAGTTCTTGCCCAGTATGATCTTTCAACATAGCATTTATCAAATCATATTTAAGTTGACTTTTCTTGACTAGATTATATGAAGGAACTTCACCCGTAGATCTTACTAGTGTGTATACGGTACTCAGAAAGATTCCTGTTAAACAATTCAATCAGTAATAAACAATGCAGCTAAATAAACTGATTTTGACAGGGATCAAGTAGAAGCTAATATGAAACAAGAACAGATAACATGGAACCACCTGCCATTCCACTGAAATGGAAATGGGGAACATGGAAATACCTGTACCTTACTAATTTAACAGCTGCTGTGGGAGGGCTAACAGGCAAAATCTTAATGACAAGCTAACTCACTCTAAAACCTGAGAAACAAACTAACTCAGACCTCATAACATTATAATTTAAAAATCAAAGTGCCCCACAGAAATATGAAGGACTTCACTTGAAATTTAAAAACAGGAGATTTTGCATATGTAGATATGCATACATACACATGTATATATATATATACATGCATTAGACAAAAACTTCTATGTGGGAAAAAAAACAACCACAAGTAAAATCTAAAGATAAACTACGTGAAGGATTTGCAACTTCTGTCTTTAACAATGCGGCAAAATTCCTCATATATAAAGAATTCCTGAAAACTGAGAATAAAAAGATTAATAACCTCCAAAATAAAAATGGACACACGACATAAATAGATGATATACAGAAAACAAAATTCAAGGAATCTTTAAGCACAGATGTTTGGCACCATTCAAAATGAAATCAATGCAAGTTTTTTTTTTTTTTGGTTTTTCTCCAGTACCGGGAACCGAACTCACGACCTTGCACTTGCCAGGCAGGCGTTTTTGCCGCTGAGCTAAATCCCCAGCCCCGAATGCAAGTTAAGGTATTCTCATATACTACTTTCATCCAGCAGACTGCTAAATATAGAAAGACTAAACACCCAGACACAGTAGTCCCCCTCATCTCTAGAGTATACACTATAAGACACCTAACAGATGCCTAACCCGGCGTTGGTAGTGAGCCCTACATACTACATTTTTTACTATACATATATGATAAAGTTCAATTTATAAATTAGGCACAGTAAGAGGTTAACAACACTAATAGTAAAACAGAACAGCTATAAGTGTATGTTTTGCCTTAGCACAACTGACACAAATTTCCTTTTCTTCACAATTTTAAAGATTTGTTTTTACTGCAGATGTTTGCAACCTTAGCTTTTGTTTATTTTTCTTTCCTTATAAAATTGAGAATTTTTACTTTTAAGGCTTCTCTTTGGCAAATTCAAATTGCCAGAATCACCATGCTTGGGTTGTGGGGCCTTTATTAAAATAAAGCTTATCTGAAGACAAATGCTACAACTCTAGACAATCCATCTGATAACCATGATGGCTATTAAGTGTACACAACATAAATATGCTGGACAAAGGGACCATTTGTGTCTTGGGGGGCAAGTAGAGGAGGTGGCAGGAGTTTTCATCACGCTACTCAGAAAGCTCAGATTAAATATATGAATTGTTTATTTCAGCAGAAATAATTCAGAATGCTCATTTCTTCATACACTGGCTTGGTATTATTATTTCCTCCTAGATTTCTTTCAATTTGCTGTTTCTACTGCCAACTCTTCTTTCCCTTCAACACTCATCCTGGCCATAATGTACTCTACGAGGAGGTTCTTCACTGCTTTCCATGCCACCCATCTACCTATATTTATCCATTAAATCAGGCTTTATCCTTTATCTATGGATCACATTAAGTAGAAATAATCTTGTTAATTTGTATTGTCTTACTAGATAGTAAATCCCTAAAGAGAAGAAACAACCTTTTTCCACTATATAGCTGCCCTCTCCAGAACTCAGTACACTGGTATCATTGAGTAATACACTAGGACTCAATACAGTGGTACCTTAGTTTATGAACTTCGTTTTACGATTTGGAGAAGAAAACAGCATTTTGTTATTATCACACTATAGGTAATTCAGAATTACTTGTAGGTATAGTCCTTATGGTAAATATTTATTATCTTTGGAATTAATGAATATCACAAGAGTACTCTATTTGCCAAGTGTCAACTCTAGTTTATGTTAAATATTTTTGATGAGCTTTATGATATTGGGAGTCCAAAATGATTCTAAGAAGTATGTTCAATTTTTAAAGATTTTAAAAAGCTGGTCACAAGAAACCAAATTCAAAAGTTACAAAAGGACACTGTGAAAATGTAACCTCCCTCTCCTGTCTACAAATCGCCTAGTTCCCCACTGCAGACACATCAGTATTAATTCTTACAATCCTTCCAGATAAATTTTGTGTTGTACACATTCATTCATATATAAATAAAAAAAATTAACAAAAATGATGGCATGCAAAATATAGTTTGTTCTTGCTTTTTTATTTGGCAGTATAGTTGGAAATTCTTCAATGTCATTAGAACTTCACTTTTTTAATTTAGTGAGAGCAATCAAATGGTATGAAGAGGTAAAGAGTATGTTTGTATTTGTGTGGGGAAGATAGCAGTCACTGATGTTCAGTTTGCAAAGGGAAGCAAAATTTTGCCAAATACTTTTGGTTGCGAACTGAACTGTTTGCAAACAGAAGCATTCATGAACCACGTATTATAGTATTACTGTAATTATTTACTGAACTCTAATTTAGATTCATCTTTTAGAGTACATTTCATACGCACAACCTATTAATAAAGGAGAAAACTGCTGAGTATATTTTAAGAAACCAAATTTCAGTTCTGTTGCTCATCCATGAAAATCTAAGGAAAGAAAAATGCCAGCAAAAGTAGTACACTGAGCCCCAACCTCTGGGTGAGTGTAGGAAGGTAGAGATCACCACGAAATAAAGTATGCACATGAGTATAAATATGAAACACCAACACAAAATACATTTTTTAGAATAGTTTAAGTAACTATTCGGAAAGGGAATTATTAACTACTGATTCTGTTTTTGCCAGTGATCACTTATTGACTTTGTCCAAGATGATATACTTTAGAGAATGGGGATACAATAATAGAATACATAAAATTGGGGAAAGGCACCATTAGAAGAGAGTATATTGCTCCTTTATTTACCTTTTTCTTATGTTTTCCTTTATGATGCACCTCCTTGTTGCCTTGGCCTAATGAAGGGTCCAACTGACTCACATCACTAGCAGAAGCTCCCTTCATTTGGTCAGAGGGGACTCTTGTTCTTCCAGGGATTTGAAATTCATTTTCTCCTTCTGCCCTATTCCAGTTGGCCTACAGAGTAAAGGACTAAGCTTAGTTCAAATAGACTTTTCTCAAATAAGTTTCCTCCACTACACTACACCATGATCTAAGGAAATACTTGTTCAAATGTCAGTGTTTGACAGTCTATAAATGACTACTTTCACTTTTCTTTCCCTAAAATTTGTATCTCATTGCCAAACCCCAAACCTTTGAGTTCTTTGGTTTATACTACAGCCTATGGCCTAATGTATATTTCAAAAGACAAAAGATAAAAGGTAACTTGTAGCAGTTGTTGGTGGTGTAAGTTATCTTGAAATCAGAGGTGGCTACATTTGAACTTAACAAATTTTAGATAACATACAACCAAGAAAAATTTAAAGTCAATTAATAAAACTCATGTCTATGTTGCACTGTTAGAAGGCTGACTTGGTTTCTGTTTCCTGCATTTAATACTGAGTATGTTTTACTAGTGCATATTACTGAAAGAATGCTTAAAGTAAGAACAAGTAAAATTTATTTTTTGTTTATAGTGAAGATTTGCAGCAACAGAGGAAACTAAAAATAATATACAATATAATATAAAAATAATATACAACCAAAAAATAAAATTGAAGAAAGGAAAAAAACATACAGAGTAAACTAAAGTCTGCGTAATTTCCTTCCTAAAGCCCAACCCAACAACATAAGTACAAGGACTTCTGGGGTTGAAGGAAGAAATAACTCCACAGTAGGCCCATGAATTCTTAGACATACCATTTCATTCAGTTAGTAAACTACAAGGCCAGGATGAACCCAGACCCATTCGAACACATTCCTGCTTTTATAAACATCTCCTCAAGAATACACACAGGCTACCCACTTATGAATGCCCATCTTGTGTACTGCTATTCTAAATATTACTGGCTTGTTGATCACCAGGTTCTTCTCAGAGAATAGTAGTTCATGTGTGTGTGCATATGTATATGTGTGTGCACCGTGTACTGTGTTTTTTCTTTTATTTTCTCGTTCTCACTCTTCCCATTGGGGTGTGTGTTTTTCCTTGTATTTTTTTGTCCTCATTTTTCCTATCCCACCATTTAACACAGTCCCTGGTTAAATAATGGATTCCATATATCTGCTGAATGAAGAAAAAAGATTATACTATCAAGCTGTCAACCTCACTCAATCCTAGACAAACCTGTTCATAATAATCTTTCAGCTTCTTATAATAGATAAGCATGTGAAGGATTTTATATTACACTTTCCATTTGGCCATCATTTATCAAGAGAAGAAACAAAATTCTCTCATCCAAAATGTCCCTAAAATGCCAATCATACCCCTAAAATATTCACCATAACCTACTTGCTAAAGCTAAAATTATCCATTTTTCATGATTTAGTTACACTAACCCGCTTTCTAACTCAGCAGTAAAACAGTGGTGAAAACAATAGCCAATATTCACAGAACGTTATCCCTTGTTAGCATTAATACTGTTACTTTTTTTATATAATTAAGTTTATTGGTACACTTTAGATATACATGGTGACCACATTCAGCATAAGGCATTTGTACTTGTACATGATATATTCTGATTTCTCTATTTTTCTCAATCCCTTCTCGTCCCTTCAACCCATTTTCCCCTCCCTATTCATCTGCAACACAGCCCAGTGAGATTGCCATTTGCATCCCCATTTTAAAATAAGGAAATGAACAGAGAAGTTCAGTAACAGCTAAGTGAAAGAGCTATCAACTGGATGTTTGCGTTCACACTCAGGCAATTTGATTCTAGAAGTCACAATACAGAAGGAAATTATATACTCCCCTACTTTTGATCACATTAGAGATTATTACAATTCATTTAAAAGTAGAATTAATTATGTCAGAGTAAATTTGCATCCTACAATGATGACACAAGTTACCTGGAGTCGAAGGTCAGACATTTGTCTTAATAGATCCTCAAAGAGTTCTCTATCATCTTCTGGTAGCTCAGAGGATAAGACCACACCCACAAAGCATCCTGCTGCTTGTAACATTGTATCAGGAAACATGTAGGCTCCCACAGAACATTTGAGAACTGGAGATCTATCAGGAACCAGAGGATACAACCAGTCACAAACCTGAAAAAATTAGAGGCAAAAGAAAATCATTTAAGGAACAGATCTTCACCACTGTTTCAGTGAAACTGTTATACTAGAAAATAAACATCTCAAAGTTTGAAATATATTTTTAAGATTTTATAGAACCATCAATAACAAGAAATCATCACTGAAAATGAGTCATTTGCTAGTCTGATCTTCCTGCAATAAAAACAGCTCAAAATGCTACTGCCTAATAAGCATCTTCGAAGTATTTTTCCTTCACAGATTCTCTTTTCATTTTGAAAAGCTACTCTGTCTTTTATAATAGGCAAACTTCAGACAGGTTACAATAAAACTGCCATCCAAAGTATAATAAGAAAGTCATCTATGGTATGTGAAATGGTGTCAGATAATGCATGAACTTTCAAAATTTGAGTAATTATGTATTTTAATATGTATTAGAAAATTCAACTTTAAATCAGTCATCGTTTAAATGGAATTTACTATGAAACAAAATAATAGAAGTATTAAGAAACCAATAATGTTAGTAATACTATTCCAGGAATATAGATTTGATCAAAAAATTGTAAAGGTTTTTCTAAAATGACTACAGCATGGGAAAGGTTTTTATTTATTATTCCACGATTTCTTTAAACTTTCCTCTATCTTGATTGCCTTGATTGAACTGGAATATCCTCAAATCTTCTCCAAAAGAATCCCAAAATGCTTAGTGCGTGGAAGGTAGCTCAATGATAAGCACTTGCCTAACAAGTACAGGACCCTAGATTTGATCCCCAGCTACACATCCACACAGAGAAAACTTTATAGACCTTTTGTAGGATAGATTATTACAGACTGTGAGCTCCTTTGACCATAGGCTGGTTTCTCCCAATTTCACTTTAAGAAGGTAATCTTGTGCCCAAGTTCTATATGAAGTGACTACAGATTTAACAGGTCTAAAAAGCACATTAAAACTAAAACTGAAGGAAAACAGGTTTTTGAAATCTTAAAATTCCAACTCTGCCTACTGAAAGCCAAATAATCTTGTTCTCATTTCCTAAACAGACCAATACTGACGTCTGCAACATAATAAATCATATCCAATTTGTACAAGTAGGTTGGTTATATATTTTTTAGGATACAAATATTCAGTAAATACACATGGTAACTCCTTTATAGGACATGCTGTACTTGAATATACGTAAATAAGAGTCTGCTAAAGAACCAAACTAAACTTTGCATGCCATTTTACTTTTCATTTAGGATCTAAAGAGGATACATGAAAAAGTTAACAAATTCAAAGCTCTAAGGCAGGATAAATTTTTGTTCAACAAATCAGTGGCTGAGCTCATATAACCAAGTATAGTATTTCTGTCATTCACTTCCTATACCTTCAGTTGCTGAGGACTGAAAGATTTTAAATTCCATTGTTTCAATACAGCACTATTACCAGATCATCATATATTAAGCTTTTATCTGTACCCCTCCCTGACCCCAATCAACAATTCCACACCTTTTAACTTTAAGGCTGCATCTCTAAAATAACTTAGTAGTATTCACAATATATTTCCTGCCCAAATAACAAATCCTTCCTTTGAATAAACCCCCAAAAGATCTCTTTCACGTATTTCTAGTAATCTAGCTTCCTCTAAGTAATTTTCAAATTGACTCTATCTAAAAGTTATATAAAAATTGAGATTAGAGTACACCATAAGAAAGAATGAATATAGATAACTAGCACTATAACTAAGCAGTATCTACACTTTGGGTAAAAGTACCTATTTGCTCAGTGATCTCTATTTAATGCAGAGTCTTTTGTTACAGAATCAGTAGTACATACAAGTGCTAGTAGTATATACAAGACCCATAAAGATCCATTTCCCTGTATCTACAATCAACCTTTTAATACCAAATTGTTACTGAACTATTAACTTCAGAGTATCTCATTAAATCTGTACCAATGAACTGACATCAACCATTATTTAGGATCAGTCTCTGCCAGTGGTTGCAAATCTTTGGCATGTGTGCCTCAGCAGGCTGATTTTAAGCTGACCTTTTCTATCTTTTTGCTGATGACAGGCTGATCTGTGTAAATGTTTAGCAACATCCTTGGTTTCTACCAACTATGTCAGTAGCAAGCACATGCTACTTGTAACAACCACAAAATTTCTTCAGGCTTTTTCAAATGTCCCCAGGGAAGAGAAAATTGCTCCAGATTGCTACCAGTGCACTACACACAGTTCTATTCCCAGTTCAGATCCTCAACTGAGATTTGACAATACTTGTGGATACTATTTACAGTTATACAGTATATCCACATGAATGACATAAATCCTCTGAAACTAAACTTAGTAGGTTTTCCCATTTAACCCAGCTATTCCCCTTCTGGGTATTGTCCCAGAAGAATTAAAAACATCATACCACAACGATGTATGTGCACCCGTGTTTATAGCAGCATAGTTTGGTATAGCTAAATCTTGGAAACAACCCAAACGCCCATCCACTGAGGAATGGATAAAAAGCATGTAGTATTTTTATACAATGGAGTATTACTCAGCTATTAAAAAAGATAAACTTGAGGCTTTTGTAGGTAAATGGATGCAACTAGAGACCATACTCGTAAGTGAAATACATCAGACCCACATGTGTAAACATCATATTGTCTCCCTGGTATAGGAACCTGAAAGAATAAGTAAAGCTCAAAACGTACAAGAGATGACAGGAAAGGGAAAGAAATTGCTCAAAGGAAGGAAAGCCTGGGATGAGGGAAAGAAGAAAAAAGAAAGAAGGCAAAATATAAATGTATATATGAAGAGCTGCATACCTGTATTGCTGACATCTGATGGTACACTGAAAGGAATAGTTAATGCTTAAAATTTTTCATGTTCTGACCAATTTTTCATACTTATATTTGGTAATGTGAGCAACTGATTTGAAGGTCACAACATGCAATGGAACTACCATGGTGAACTCCTACCATCTTGTCTAGTGAAACTCTGTATTATCTTTAATGTTTTATCTAATAATTATTTTCTTATTCTCTTTAATGATTTGAACAATCTTCCACTGTTAGATCTGGTAATCTGAGCAATGTAGCTGAAGATAACAATATGTAATATAACAACCACTGTTAATTCATATTATTTTGTCTTAAAACCTGTATCACTTTAAATGTTCTTGCTTTGGTTTGTTTATGTTTGTGATGCTGGTATGTCGCTATTGTTCTTTTTTTGTTTTTCTCATTTACTACTCTCTTTTCTTTATAAGAAAAAGAAAAAAAGAGAAGAAAATTAGTAGGTTTCTTCTTCAGACGAAGAAATAAAAACTCAAGGATGAGTTCTTTGATTTCCCTGAGGTCCCATTATCACAGTTTTAATATCAAAACAAGATTGTATAGCTTAAAAACCAAAGCTAAATACAAACATGGATGTTCAGAGCTCATAAATTTCATGATGTATATTTTAAAAGGAAGTAAAACCTATCATTATCTTTTTGTACTTACTATCCTGGACACATTACAAACATTAACAAATAAAAACAATACTTTCTACATATATTTGAAATTATGTTTACTTTTTCCTTTGGCTTACCTGAAGAAATCCAGGAGGGCGATTTAGAACTGTATCAAGAGAATTATCCAAGAACCTGACAATTCGAAGGTAGCCAGGATATGAAGGTGCACTAACCTCCCCGGCAGGATTTACAAAAAAGATCTGTACTCCATTTGGTATCAGAATCAATTCATCTGCATCCATCCCTAAGGTCTCAAGAGGAGGTGGCTGAGAATGGCTCCTATAGAAATCTTCTCCAACTGATGAAATTTCACCAGAATCAGTTCCATAAGACACAGTGTAGTGACCCTCCGCAGCCTGAGGAGTATAAGCAGGAGGAGCTTCTGATGGACAGCTTGGAGATGGTAAGGCTGGAGAAGATGGTGCAGCAATGGATCCTGAACTTGCAGCTGTAGTGTTATTTATTTCAGTATGCTGAGGAGGTGAATTACAGGACTGAGGCCCTGGCGACTTTTCACACATGTCTTTCGGTGGAAATTCTGGATACAACTTGGGTACTTCCTGAAGATCATTTCGTAGGGAAGTGGCAAGACCTTTCTCTAGAATTTCTAACCTGGCGCGTACATTCTGTAGTGTTTCTTTCATTTTCTGTTGCATCTGTCTAGCAGATTCCCATTCAGGGCCTGTGTGTTGAGGCTCCGTTGATATAATGCTGATTCCCCTGAGCAGGTGTCCTATTCCTTGCTTATAGTAGTTCTTTGCTTCTTCCTTCTGCCCTAATTCATCTGTATTCAAACCTTTATTAACAAATAAAAAGGCATTTTTGTATGCTTCCCTGATAATCTTAATTTCTGCAGGTTCTCCATTTTGTGGTGCTTGCTCCATTTCTGCAAAATAGGAAATATTATCTGTAATTACCTGTTCAGCTATTTGATTGGTTATTTACTATTCATCTTTCCTACCTCATTATACTTCAAGAAGACAGAAATCTTGTCTCTGTCTTGTTCACTATTATGTTTCCTAAGCTTAATTTTAGTTCTGACACAGAAAGCACTCAAAATGCAGTTGACCAATGGGTAAATGCTCTTGGCTGGCCCTAAAAATCTTGCTAATTTAAAAACAAGAAAGTAAATGAGAAACATTAAGTGAGTTTTGTGCTGGTTTCTTCTAATATATATTCCCCTATCATATATCAATTTTAGGGTTAAGACAAAGGGTCTCATTCTAAAATTCATTATACTATAAATCCAGATAATATCTAGCTAATAAAAAAATGAGTGGAATCGTATATTGTAGAAGACAGAAATGAGAAAAAACTAGAGGGAACGTCAACATTATCTGACCATCACTAATGGTAGCAGGTATGAGCAGTTAGCTTTAATTTCCTGGCAAAGTCCTACTAAAAAAAAATGACTTTTAAAAGACTCTGAAAAAGGCATAACAATTTCTCTTAATGAGAAAAAGACATTAATAGGTACTTTTCCAAAAAAGAATAAATATTATTCCTTCCGGAAAATGAAACTAAAATTCATAATGATTCAAACTATGTATGTATTAGATAGCTAAAATCTAGAGTGAGTCAGGGATATAGCTCAGCGGCACAGTGCTTGCCTGGCAAGCACGAGGCTCTGGGTTCAATTCCTGATACCAAAAATCAATCACTCAGTCACTCAATCAACCTAGACTGACCAGTGTTAAACAACTGCAATTCATACTGTGCTGGTGGAAGCTGAAAAATGGCACAGCCATTTTGGAAGGCTCACCATTTCTGCTACAGCTAAGTATTAACCCACTCACTCAACGACCCATTTGCAAGTACAGAACTAGGAGCACTACACACATATACATGCCAAAAAAAAAAAAAAAAAAAAAAAAAAAAAAAAAAAAATCACTATAATAGCCAAATCAGAAACCAGAACCTGTTTCCAGATAAAAATGGTGTACTTAAGTTGTATCATTTACACATTCTTATCAAAAAAGTAAAAGCCACTTCAAACATAACCATATGTAGGTTTATATTTTAAAAGATACAAGCAACGTTAAAAATTTTAATTAAAAACTTGGCAACTTAGTTCAAGTCCACAAAAATGTGAAAAGTAGTAAATAATTACACTTAACAGGCAACAACACAAGTAGGCTCTAACAGCATTTAGGTCGGGCTTGAGTGACCCACGATCGTAATCGCGTAATCTGGGAGGTGGAAGCAGGACTGCAAGTTTGAACCTAGCCTGGCAGCTTCGGTTAGCAATAACCTGACTCAAAATATAGAAGAGCAGGGGAAACAGCTCCGTGTGAGGACCCTGAGTACAATCCCAGTACTAGTAAAAAAAATAACTAAATAAAAAATAGCAATAATAATGCAGCACCTATCTTGTTAGAGCCAGTAGAAGTTACTGTAATGCCTGTCCCTGCCCACTTGGCCATTTATGAAGACAGGGTTTCCCACTATAAATTTACTTATTATTTAAATTATATATTAGTTGTATATACTTATGGTGTGCAAAATGATGGTATATTTTCAGTTTTAATACAATGTGGAATGATTACATCAAGCTAACTAACGTGTTCATCATCTCAAATACCTGCGTGTTTTTGAAAGATCACTTGATTTTTATCTTTTACAGATACTGAAATGTACAGTACTCCATTATTATTACAGTAACAAATCTCAAGAAACACTTATTTCTCATATTGATGTGGAGGACGGGGGGGGGGTGCTAATAGGAGTTGTTTTCTCTCCTAATATCCGTATGCAACGTCCTCTGGAGTGTCCAACCACATTCAGGTCGACTGGGGAAACGATGTCTGAGCAAGTGCTGCAGGTGAGAAGTAAAGCTGGTATCACACAGTACCAAGTTCGAACAGGTCCTATGAGACCACCATGTTAAATCAATTATACAAGAGAACGCATTAGGAGGTAGCTCCATTTCGAACCGGCCCTATTCTATTGCCTTTCTCTTTCATCAACTTCAAAAAAACCCCTTAATTTCTTAAAGACGAGGTCATTCTTTCGAGGTAACAACAATACTGAACGCCAATCCACTAAGTTTTAACTCGATAAACCAATCCTCGAGGACCGGCCAGAGACTACAGCGCAATCCCTCAGTGTGCGGGAAACCGGGCAGCCCCACAGCCACACGGTAACAGTGCGGGTCCAAAACCAACTTTGCGCACGGAACGCGGCCAGAGGGAGTCCTCCGGAGCGCGCCGTCCCTGGTAAACATTAACGAAAGTACTCGAAAGAGTAAAACCACACGCTCGCTAGTCTCCGACTGCGGCGGGTTGTGCGCCTCTTTGCAAAGAGCCCGGCTGCTGCCCCTTCGCGAAGCTGTAAGCGCTGGGGGCAGGGGAGTCACGGGCTGTTTTCGGGGCCGCGAGCGCTGCCGGCGGGGACGCTGCATCCCCGCACAGGCCGGGAGGCAAGGCGGGGAGGGCGAGGGCCTCGAATACGGGGACCCCGAGTAGGAACTCCTCCAACTGTCCCTTGGAATGGCTCCCCTCCAGGAAAGCCCGTGGCTCAGCTCTCGCACCGGCCCTTCAACAGCCTGCCCGCCTTCCCCTGGGTCTCGGCCCGGGCCGCCCGCCGGAGCAGCCGCCGCCGCCCACCTGCCCC